TAGAAGGGAACAGAAGGAAATAGAAGGGAATAGAAAGGAACAGAAAGGAACAGAAGGAAACAGAAGGGAACAGAAGGGAACAGAAGGGATTATAAGGGAACAGAAAGGAACAGAAGGGAATAGAAGGGAACAGAAGGAAATAGAAGGGAATAGAAAGGAACAGAAAGGAACAGAAGGAAACAGAAGGGAACAGAAGGGAACAGAAGGGATTATAAGGGAACAGAAGGAAATAGAAGGAAACAGAAGGGAACAGAAGAGAACAGAAGGGAACAAAAGAGAACAGAAGGGAAGATAAGGGAACAGAAGGGAATAGAAGGGAATAAAAGGGAACAGAAAGGAACAGAAGGGAACAGAAGGGAATATAAGGGAACAGAAGGAAATAGAAGGAAACAGAAGGGAATAGAAGGAAACAGAAGGGAACAGAAGGGAACAGAAAGGAACAGAAGGGAACAGAAGGGAATAGAAGGGAATAGAAGGGAATAGAAGGGAATAGAAGGGAACAGAAGGGAATAAAAGGGAATAGAAGGGAACAGAAGGGAATAGAAGGGAATTATTAGTTAGAATTTTTACAGTTACTTATCGTTTGTTCAAGGAGATTTACGAATAAAATTTTGGTCCATTGATTTGTTTTATTTAATAATCCACTTTTTGAGTGAACAATAATATTATAAAAGAGAAAGTTTACGTGCAAAATTTCGAGTTATATGTGTTTTATCAAAACGGCGTAAAATACTGCGTTTGGTACACTGGTGTCCCAATACGCAGCAGTGGAATATCACTGTTGGTACACATATGGCCCAATACGCGGGGAACGTGTTAATAAGATGTGACTAGCCAGAAGTAATTGCTTTAAAAATATTTTCAGCAGAAAAATCAAACCTCCTAGATAAAATAATATGCATTTAAAAAATACTTTTTAAAGACAGCACTTTTAAAGAATCCACTGTCTCCAAGACTCCAATGTTACACTTGTACAATAAATTTCTAATTTTATTATCAAATATTAAAAAAATTAATATTTAAATTTTATTTTTTAATATAAATTTTGCAAAATTATTTATTCTGTCAATTTAATCATGGCATTATCATGCATTGTCTCCAACTTAATGCAAGTGTGAAAAATTTCAGATTGATTGGAAAAGGTTAAGTGTGTTAAACATTGATTAAAAGATATGTAGCAGACAAAATTATTTGTTCAATTTTTTAAATTTAATGTTTTTTAATTTTTAAAATGATTTATTCTGTCAATTGATTCATGCATTGTCTCCAACTTTATGCAACTAATGCAAGTGTCCAAAATTTCAGATTGATTGGAATGGTAGAAGTGTCTTAAATATTGATTATGAGATTTGTAGCAGACAGATACCTAACAAGAAGTGAAGTTAAAAAGAAGTGTTGTAAATTGTAATTATTAGCCATTTTCTAAGTACCTAATAACCTTGAGTCTTGAGATGCAAATTGCAAGCATAGGCTAAACAATTTTCTTTACCTACTTTTTAAGAATAATTTTAACGTTCAAGAAGCATTTTAGAGAATAAATAAGTTAACAAGAATCTTTCATCTGAAAAAATCAAAGATGCCTACCTAAAATGAATTACGGTAGGAGGGTAGGTTAATAACCATTTTGGAATTTGCATAGCCTACTTGGGAAGTTGGGTCCGTGTTGGGATTCATTTTTTAATGAATGAAATTTTAATTATCCTTAACCTTAAGTAGGTTAGAACTTTGAAGATCAAATCATTCAAATGCATTAAATTTGCTGGATAAATTCAGGTCCACTCTTCTCAAATTCTCAATCCAGGCTCTCAGCTCCTCCAACCACTTCACTAAAAAGATTTGAGATAGCCTAATTCATCTATAACAGTAGTACAGTACTAGGCTACTAGGTATTTTCATTCGTCTATTAACAGTACAACTAGCCTAATTCATCTATTAACTCACAAGTTACCTATTTTAACCCCTAACTAAGTGTGAATCCAAACAAATTCACAAACGTACCTTAGTACCTAACCTACGTCCTACAAGCTACAATTAATAACTATGCTGGTATACTCAAATAACTCGATAGGCTAGCAGAGCTGTAACTTAGACTGTAAGTGTAGCCTATATGCAAGGTAAAGAATGAAAGATTAGAGGCACTAAGTGACTAAGACGATGAGTTCAATAACCTATATTTTACAATTTTTCTCATTCATATTAAAATGGTTTCAATCGTTATAGTTCGAACAGTTTCTCTAACATTATAGTACCGGTAAAGGAATATTGTCACAAATTTACTCACAATATATTAAATTGAATGCGACCGGCCGTTTTCGCTGGATGAGAGACCCTGATTTCGTGTAGCAATGTAAGTTCGCCATGAGAACAAAAATTACCCTTAAAACAGAAACGAATATTGGGTGAAATATGTATGGTATTCACTCCGACTACTCTGTGAATATTTCTGTTCCGTTGTAGTATCACAAATGGATTTATTCCCATAAAAGCACTGAGAAACCTGGACTTAGATTCCATGCTGATGACGATCTCATGAAGATTTAAAAAGTTACTTCATTTGATGTCAAGTTCTCAAATAATTACCATGCACTTAACTTTAGATGATGTTACACAGCTTTGAAACCACTCCAACACTGTTACTCCTCCTTACAGCTCGGTGCAAATAAAAATATTTGTTTCAATTAGGTTTTCGGTGTTAATTTGATTAACTAAGATAATACATTGTACGCCGTCAGTCTAATGAAAGTGTGCAAATATAGTGAGCAACTGCTTTGTCAATTTCCAATGCTAAGCTATCAATAATTATGGAGATATTATTTCTGTTATTATGTAAGGATTAGATGTGACTACATAGTGATAGTAGACTTTAGGTGAGGGGTTACTGAATAGTGTGAAAAGGTTGATAATGAAAGCCCCAGGTGGACTCCGGTGGACACATTGATAGGTTAATGGGTTGGATTGCATACATTCGAGGAGAAAAGAATTACAAGAACCTTGACGTAAATATTAGACTAGACAAATGGCTGATGAAAGTTAGTCATGAAAGACATAAATGTGGAGTGGTTGTGGAGGGATTGTGCGTAGTGGTTAGCGGTAAGTTGCTCCGCTGTAAGCGCATGTGACGTGCCGGCGGCACCGAAATGGAGGAGCTAGGCGTGGATTCGAGCTCCGGGAAGCTCAGTTAATGTCTCTGTGTCGCTTGGACGGCGCTTAGTCGCCGTCGGGAGGTGGTGCTTTCAGCATGGCCTTGGGTGTATGTCCCTAAACACTCTGGGTGATTACCGGGGGGATCTTAAAGGCCTATCCAGTTGTCGTGCAAGGGTGCTTAAAGGCGGGTTGCGCCAGAATATCAGACATGTGTAGGCCAAAGGCCCGTTAGGCTAAGAAACGTTTGGGGGGCGAAAATGCGGTGTGTTTGCTGAAATTGAATGGGATGAAAAAGAGCGGCAAAAGAAACATATACGTGAGTAGAATGATATGAATTGGAGGTGAGGAAACAAAGAGTGAGAGAAAGAATACTCTTTAGTTGCCCGAGAAAAATGCATTTGCAAAGTATGTACTATGTATGCATGATGGTAGCAAAGATGGATATATACTGTTTTGTGTGAGAGCGTTAAGAGAGAGACACCGAATGTAAGAGGTGATTCTGTATGTTGGGGTAAGAGAACAAGGGAGAGGTGGACTGATTGTGGGTTTGTGGATTGCAACAGTGGCTGTTATTGAGAGTGTAAATAGATATTTGGAGATCATAAGGAGACCGAGAGGCAGGTGAATTTCCGGTGAATGGAGGAGGAAAAGGGAATAGGGAAGACACAAAGAACGTACAAAACGATTAAGCCCGAAAATGCAAAAACGGCTCGTTGGACTAACGACCGCTCACTTCAACTCGACTTGCTGAGTTGTCGTACCTAATTTCCTACCCTCGTCGGGAGTAAAACCTCTTTCCCTCACCTAAGTGAGGAAAACTGACATTTGTCTCAGTAATTAGTGACCCAGTGGTTACTGTTCAGAGTACCATGATTGGCACAGAGAGGCGCGGGTTCGATCCTAGCTCTGTGTGCCAGTTTCTGTCAGAATCGGCGAGGAGGCCGGGCGGTAAAGCACAGCAGAATTTGGAACAGTGAGTTGTGAGTTTGAGACCGCAACAAGCTGTGAATGTTCTGCGATGTTAAGAATCGGCGATAAGCCTAGGACCTAATGAATGCTGAAACTGCTATGCTATGCTTAAGTGTAAAGGTGAAGGGCCTTAGCGTTTAAATTGCCGAATAGTCTCATTTACGATCTTGTTGGTTAATTAGCGATTACGATCTATGTCGTTCAACAAGTTGGAAGCCTGGAGGATTGGTAGTTTAATTACTGAAACTTATCCAAAAGAGATTTGACTTTGCGGATTAGAGCTCTTTAAGGCATAAAGACTTAATTCTCCGAAAGTTACATGAAATTCGCGTTGATTATCGTTTAACGGCTAACATGCAGTGTAGTTTTAGGTTGTGGTACGTAGCGCCTGTACCAATAAGTACGGCGGAGATTGGGCTCCCTTGCTCGAGCCATTATCTTCAATAATTCCTTTATTGTTGGACTTAGTGACGCAGAACATATAAGCACCAAGTGAATAGTGAAATAATGACGCAAGAAAATACAGGTATGAATTCATTTATTAACAAGAAACAATTGCAATGAAAAATGAAAATTTCAATCCCATTATTGGTAATAAGCCAATGACCTTAATTGCTGACAAAATAACTGGCATCACCTATAGATTTCCTAATTTTATACTAAATTCATCAATTCCGCACTGCAATATTAAATAATGTAAAAATAACGACACAGTAGTCGAGTTCTGGTGCTTAAACTTTCAACGCGACGATTTGATGAGGACTGAGTGTTTTTCGCAGGCTTATAAATGTAAGACCGCGCAGACCGCCGGTTACCATGGCCACGTCCACATCCATGTACTAACAAACTACGCTTCTTTGCGAGCAGTACAAGTGAGACACTTACGGTGGTAGGTGCGTACTTACAATACTCTAGTAATGTGTGAGGGTAAAGTGGCTACTAGGTCAAAACACTGCAGCGGCAACAAAGGTGCAAAATAAATTTTTTGATTTTAAGCAATAAATCTGAGAAATGAGAGATGATGAGAAAATCGAAAACGATAGATTCAATCTTGATTCCGTTGAACGGATGCCCCTTCGTCTCGCAGGTATATATGATGTTTTCCTCTCTATGAATGGATCGAAATAATTATGTAAACGAGTCGAATGCGACGAAATGAAAATAGATAAATTATTCATTAAAACGACGATAAGCCCTTCTAACAAGTAGGGAATGAAAGTAAAGAAAAATGTTTTGAAAATTTCAGTACACTATTTACGAAACTTGTTAATAAAACCGAATAGTGAATGATACTATAAATAGTTACTTCCATTGATTGCACATAATAGAAATGATTCACACCTGAAATTATTTTCTCCGGAAAGTAACAGCATGTCGACGTAGAAGCGCAGCTAATAACTTTTAGCTCCATAACCGAAACTCATGACGTTATTCCAAAAAAATCAGAGTCAAAGGAACCGAGTTTTAAGAATTGAGTGAGTTTTTAAGCGAAACTTGGAAATAGCGCACGAACAGCTGTCAAAAATTGTTATCTAAACGAAGAGTTCATGAAAATTTGATGTATTTGGTTAGATAAGAGAACGTATTAATTAAGTGATGTCTTAAACAATTAGGACAAAATGATGTTTTTTGTTTGTCAGCGATGTCGTCTGGGTGGTGAGTCCATGACATCTTCTTGTAACCGGTCTAGTTTACTGCTATTTATTATCACCGTAAAGCAGTATCTGGGAAAGAGCCTTTCAGCAGGACGATTGGCTTTTTGACAATTTTATGTAAGCTTGCTTTGCTTGGCACAGTTACTTGGTACGGATTTTATCGTCTTGATTTAAAAAGACCCGTTTAGTAATTCGGCATTCGCAATAATTTTATATGCTTTATTTTCCAAATTATTGTTTAAATTAAGTTTTATAGTTTGTTCAACAATTTAGTAGCTTCCTTATCATAATCATCCTAAGTTCATTCAATGTAGATTTAAACTGTGATGACAAGTGTCAATTGACATGATACTGTCATGTTAAGATAAACCTACTTACCTCCTCATGCTGATCGCTATTCAATGGAATATAGAAGAGGTGCCGAAAAGATCTACGTCCCAGCGGCATCGTTTTAGTCTTTCTTGTTTAAACTGAGGCAGCTTATATATAGTCTGTTTTACGTAGAGCTTCTTTGAGGAGACTTGTCTTTTTTCAATTGTCGAAATTTAATTATTTTTCTTGTAATTACAGTGCTTTTGTAATTAATCTTATTTCATGAGACGCCAACAACTCTCGTGATAATTAATATTTTATTCGCATTGTAAATATCGGCTTGTGATCTTACCTTTAAATTTAGTTCAAATATTAGGAAATATAGAGTAGTAACAGGCCGCATATAGTTCGGCAACAGGCCATGGGCCTATTTCTTCAGTGCCGACACTTCTATTCTATTCGATTCTAATAAAAATAATCTTAAATGATTAATGTCGAATTTTCTGATAATGAGTACATGTCTCTCAAATTTCGAATGCTGCTAAAAACATGCTGATTAAAACAGAATTATTTCCCAATTACCGTTCTATAGCGTTCTTAATATTGTAAAACTGTTTCAACAATTTCTCCTCGTAAGCAAATATTTTCAATGCTCTGTTTGATAATTTATTCTTACGTTCTTTTGATGCCCAGAAATTCCGTTCACCTGAATTGCGGAAAATAACAAAAATTTCCTGACAAAACATTAGCTTTAGTTATTCATTGTTTGTTGATTTGAGCCACGAGTCACGATGGAAGAAATTGTTGAATAATAATAATAAATTTAAAATATTGATATTTTTCTTGCATATAAGCGCAAAAAATAGGATTGTGCAATATAGTCTTCGTACGAACCACGTGAATTTCTTTTCCACGACGCACGAAGCTAGAGTTTTATAACATTTGTTTGACGCGCCAGGGGGACCCGAGGAAGCTATCACCCTGAGCAAGATGCATCCTCAGGAGCTGCGGGACCGCTACCTCCAGATCCAGGACGAGTTCTTCAGATTCAAGAAAACCTCGTTCGATCAGTCCAATGAGTTGAAAAGGTAAACATGCTTCTTTCATGTCATTGATTTTAAATTAAGCTTAATTTCAATAACTTTCTCTGCGCCTGATATCATGTAGGTGAGCAATGAGTTATATAATGAAATATTCAAGTGGACTAAATGCTATGAACCCAATTAATTTTAATTCATCGTAAACAAGGGCTCAGACCAGAGTGCGGAAGCTCGAACACGACCTCAAGAAGGAAGAGCGTCTTCGTTCGTCCGTCCCGGCAGCCACCAGCGTAGAACAAAGGCTACAGGAGCAGAAGGAACTAAACGACTTTCAGGCAGCGACAATAAGTCAACTCGCGTACAGGAACGAGGCTCTTGAGGTATGTGTTACGTTACAAACGTTATTTCTATGTGCCTTTGAAAATAAAACCAATAATACCAGTTTATCTATGGATAATATGCCAGCTTCCGTGCTCGGCGTCTACTGGGTGGGGTTAAGTGTCATTTACTTACAGCTGACTGGTGATATTGACTGATATCTGCGATAATGACTTGATGCGGGTTCTTTGCCGCCTGATGTTTCTGGATGTTAATGCTAAGAATTTCAGGGTTACTGGCGGCCGATCAAAATTTCGGACGATGGGACGTTCCTGAAATTAATACCGTTCTTTGGTGCCTTCCTTGGTAATGAGGCGGTCGAGAGACCGCCTCATAACCGAGTTGTCTTTAAGACGTTTTTGTTCTATTTGCCTCTTCTCAAATGACATTATGAACTTAAAGATGATTTGGTGAATTTTTACCATCAAACCTCATACCGATTGCGTGTAATAAACGAAGAAAGCCTTGTGATCGTAGCTTATTTAACGTCTGCACGGGGACAACTTGTCTTCTGTTTCAACCCTGCAAGTCGCAGGAGGACGTCAGTTTCCATATGGCACGTACGTGGAGTCACTTGGCATGATCATCTATGTGGTCTATGTAGCCTCGATTTAAGCTTCAAAAAAATCTGATTTTCTCGATTGAATAAATGGTAAAGGTAAAGAAGCTATTTTTCCATATGATGAATTTTTTATTACATTAATATATTTGCTTAACTTTGCAGTTTGACCCCCAGACTAAATGATCACTTTACATGCGTAGGCTTCATTGTTCATCGATTCCGAGTTATTACGCGACTTACCTAGATTATACGAACCTCAATTCTAAATTTCACGATTCTTCATGATATTTTTGCGAGCCTGCAAGATAGGAAGTGATGCCCATGAAAATCATATTATAGAAATTTAGCACTTACCAGGGCTTCGATATCTTCTGAAGAGCATCATTGTGTAGAAAAATAAGTAATTTAAAAGTAGTTGGCACCGTTGTAGAGCGGATGTAAGATCCTTAATTATCATGTAATGCTATACAAGCGAATCTTAATGCAATGTCCAGTGGCACTTTCATCTGGGACGAGGTCAACCTTAGTCTTCATTGACAGTCTCATGGGATCTTTGAAAGATTAACCATGATGGATGCCCTGATACTATTTAGCGTGAGCTGCAGTTGGTACGCATTCATGCGTGAAGTGAGCCGTAAAGACAAGAGTAAATAGTTATAGATTTGTCGTAAAGAGTAATAATTTAGTCTGCGTCTGCCATGTGCCGCCCAGCGTAAACTGAAATCGGCGAGCATCCAAGTTCTTGCAGCCCGCAACAACACTCCTGTGATGTACCGCGACGTGGGGCCTCGCGTCGACACGTGGCTCAGAGGTCCTCCAGCTCGTCGTAGGTAAATTTTTGGAACATGGAATAGAAATGAAGTGTCGGGACTGAAGAAATAGGCCCATGGTATGTGAACATTTCATACATTTATCTAAATATTTCTTATAAGAAACTATATTCAATTAGCCTATAATGATGCTTTCCATTTCATCCAGTCAAACACGGTAGTGATTTGAAGCTCAAGTCTTCGAAAAACTCAGTTCACAGGTAATTCATTTTAACATTTTATCTCGTACAATAAAAATATGTAGCTAATGTTGACTTGACTTATGTGTTGCATAAGTTGCATCGTTATATCACTTCAACTGTTTTTAGCGCATTTTCTCATTTATGGAAAAAATGCTCTATTATGCTCGCCATATCCGTCCGTCTGTCTGTCCGTCCGTGACTTCACGTTTTCGTCGACGAGAAAATGCGCTCTCTGTCACTCACTGCAGTGAGTACTGGGTTATATTTTTTCTTCGTTGTATATGTAGTATAAATAGTACATTTTATATATTGGCTATTGTAAGTTGTGTGTATGGACAGATACCGCACACCGCCCCCCTCTCGGCCCCACACCCCCGCGTCGCCCTACACCGCAAGACGCAGTCGCGCTCGGTCCCTCTCCCCTACTCGGCGCTCGCTGGACACTCCGGATGAGGTAGCAATATTGCCGCCAATTAACATGGCATTGCCATATTATTGCAACATTTGCATAGTAATGGCATACAATCTACTCATTCTAAATTTTCTGCAAGGAGAGTTAATTTTTCCGCAATGATCCGTACAGCCTTCTAGTTGTTATCATGTAATTAATAATCGTCATTTATGTATTGAAAAAATAACTATGCTAACTGCGGTAAAATGTGATGTCAGTCATTAAGAGTCCAATTTTAGGAGGACGTGACGAATGTTAAGTAGACTTTTTCATAAGTGGAGGCGCCAGTGTTTCTTCTCTGTAGTCGGGCTAATATGACGAGCTAGCTGCCGTTCGCGAGCCAAACTGTTGAGCGTTCTTACCAGAATAACATGTTTTTATAATTGATTAGCGCATATTACTGTTGCAATATAGGTCATTCTGCCGTAGATGAACATTTGCTCAATCATCACTGAGAGATAATTTAAGGATTTATGCCCAACTATTTTTTCACATCAACAATAGTCGTAACAACATGCATGATATTTAAATGTTTCGCTTGCAATATAATTCGTCTCTTATGTCAGAATCATAGAATAAAATCACTCCGCATTATGCTGCAATGCATTAACATCGAGTTATATCAATACTATATGTATAGCATGCATCATCATTGAATAAAATCATTACAATACTTGGGCTCAGTAAAAACAACGTGGGGGTTCAGAAGAGAATATTTTGCTCTTGCTAAGATGCCGTAGAATATTTTGTTAATAACGTTGCATTTACTGGCTAGTGAATCTCTCAAAATCAAAAGTTTTTGCGCTTCCTAGTCGGGATTACAACTCATTCAAACGACGGCTGAACGCCAGTCCGATAAATGTATCCCACAAGTTAGTATAACAATAAGTGCAGTAACAATGAGAGCAGAAAGCACGTGAGAGTTTTTTTTAAACTTCAAACGTTTTTGACTCAATTTAAATATTATCTTAGCATATAATGTATTTAATATCACCCAATTGTAAGGGCTAGTTCTCACAGGCTCTGGTGGTACCGGCAAGCATTCGCAGTATTCTTGAGGAGGCCAAAGAAAGAATACAAAACCTCGAGGCTGAGAAGGCAACCTTGCAGAAAAGCTGCAATAGAACACAACAGGTAATTGGCAATGTTGTCTGAATACTGCATATCCGTCCAATTAATTAAGGGTAGCTGATCACAGAAACATTCCGGAGCATTTTTTTTTTGGCAGACATGCACATCCTCTAGCTGCTGCTGATCACATTATTGAATGCACGATTTTCACAGCTTGGCTGTTGTAGATTCTGAAACTTGAATCAATAATAATTTTGAATCAATGAATCAATCAATAAAATCAATGATTTTAATTACAATATTACACAAAATTTCTTATAAATACTAATTTGCATGAAGTAAAATAAATAATTCGTGGCTAAAATGAAAATTTTCAGGAGCTGCAGGAGTGCGAAGAGGACCATCAAGCGAAGCTCTCGATCCTGGAGGCGGCGCTGCAGCAGCTGCGACAGCGACTGCGCGATGCCGGCACGAGGGTCGAGGAAGAAGCTACAGACGCCGTCATGGCGACTCGTGAGGTGCAGTCGCTCAAAATACAAATTCAGGGCTTCCAGGAACGCTGCAAGACGGCCGAGGACATGTTGGTGGTGGAGCGAAAACGGCGTATGGAATTCATCACAGAGATCGGTGAGAAAATGAGAACACCATGCTACGAAAATCAGGAAAATCATTTGAAAAGATAACAAACGTTTAAACAAAAAAATGTAACAAACAAAAAACGTAACGTTTTTCGTGTACGAATACCAAGTTAGACGTGTTCAGGTGACTTCGTTTTTAAGGACATTATCGAGGAAAATATGCTGAATTCTTATAGGCTGTTCCTAGTTTGAGTATAATGGAAAAAATATTTTGAAATAATAAAATTAAAAAAACATGAAAAATTTGCGATCCAAATTTTCGCTTCACCGAGTGGGTGTCTTAAAAACAAATTTGATTGTATTTTTGGCCCCTAGTTACATGGCGTCTATACTTTGCAAGTAGCCAAACGTGAGTGCGATGCGGTATCTGAACACTGATTGTTGATGGATGACTGTGTGCGTACAACTCTTTAAAAATAGCATATCACGCCTAGATATGAAGGGCGCATTGTTAATGTTATATATACATTTTACAATAAAATTATTTATGTTTTATCTGCGCAGATGAGCTTCGCACACAGCTGCAGACGACAAACGACCTGTTGCGCACCAGCCAGCAGGAGTATCGTCGGCTCACCAGAGATGTTGAAGAGACTACCATCAAGCTGGACGTGCTCGCGGTCAGTCAGAAGTCTTCGCCGAGCCTCGCCACACCAGTTTATATTTTGAATCATCATAATTATGATATAATAGTTGAGCAATTGAGATAAAGGGTCATCACTTGAAAAAGTTAACGGGAAAGTTTAAATTTCGTAGAATTTAAATTCATCCAAAGCTACAGATGAAGTTTGTATATGCATGATATGTTTACAAAAAATTCACTTTTTATTCATATTCCACAGCAACAGCAAAGACAAGATCATCAACAGACACGCAGTGCTCCTGAGCCGTTACAGGAGCCGCAACGAGCGCCCCTCCAGGCAGCGGAGGCCTCGGCTGCTCCATTACGAAGGCGCATTGCAGATCTCGAGCGCGCCGTGCAAGTGAGCAATTACTCGTTACATGGACGGTCTTCCAAACGGCCAAATACTTGACTGCCGAAATAGTTGTGTCCTCATTAAACTACTTTAAATAAGATTTATATTTAACCGATAAATCAGAGACCGAAGTAGAAGTCATGTTTTTATAGATTTAAATTGTGAAACACAACCCTCATCAGAATATTGGGAAGATGATAATTTTGATCGAAGTGTGGTTCACTACGGCAGAACTCAATTTAATCAGCGACATGTTGGTTATAAATAAGTTTAAATATGGATCTTTATCTGCTATCAAACAGTCAGAACTGGCAGAGAAGCAGGATCTGCTGAAGAAGCTCAGTGAGAGCGTGATACGTGAAGAAGGTTCAGCCGAACAACTGTCGAACAGTCGCAAAGAAGTCGACCAATTGAGGTTGTTGGTAACTGAGGCACGAAAGCGAACAGCTGCTGCCGAGGCTGCGCTCTCTAACAAAAGACATCAGGTGATAAATGTAAAACTATTAATAATAAATTTAAAATATGTAATCGTGAAACTCGTTTTTACTTTAACGAGGATGAATGAAATCTCTTCTTGCGGTTAACTCATGCCGAAAAAATATTATCTATTTTGATGTGACAGCGAGTGTCGTAGACTCTAAAACAGATTTGAAGGTTTTTATAGAAGAAAAGTATACGGGTGTTACATCCAACATTTAGCTATCAATCAGGATTAGAAACACTATATATATCTTGAATGTATATCTGCTGTTAAATTCACGTAAAATAACTATCGTGCACATGGATGCTTACTTGAGCTCATGCAAGCATAATAACGGAAGCACGAGATTGTTAGCATTAGATCAGGATATTACTGGTTCCCCATCATGATCGAACTGTGTAGCAGTATTAAAGTTCGATTTTTTAAAGGAGCCATAAGCGACACAGAAAGCTATTTCGTTCTAAAGTAAAAATGAGTAATTTGTGACTGTCTAGAGCTATCGACGAAATTATTCGTAAATCTCTTTTCAATGTTTACTTGAACAACTCGAAAATTAATGACTGTATGAGCCTTAAGAGTTGATTGAACTAAGCAGTAAGTAATAAGGACAATGAAATTACATTTACAGAAGAAAATATAATTTCAAACGTTTTGATATGCAAAACTTCCCCAACACCTTCAGACACAATTATTCGTACAGTTGGAAAATATTAAATAATTGCAATATGCAATAACATAGTTGCAACATATGTCTGATGGTGCCGGAAAAATTTTTATGTTAAAACTTTTTGAAATTTAATTTTGTTCTGAAAATGTAGTGTTATTATACCTATTACACACAGCTTAGTTCAATCAAATCTTAGGCTCATACATTCATTAATTTTCGATTTATTCAAAAAAATATTGAAAAGAAAGGGGTGTACGAATAATTCCGTTGTTAACTATAAACGTCTTCCAGATGATGCCCTCAAGCAAGACAGTGGCGGACCGCTCAACTCAGTGCGCTGTGGTTCCTACAACAAACTCGTTGGTATCTCCACAACACCTTCAGGAGGGACTTCCTATACGAGCTGCAGGAGACGTTCAAGCAGCAGCATCGCTGACAGCAACAGAGAGAGAAAAGTTGGCCAAATTAGAAGCCTCGTATCAACAGAAATGTCGGGACTTGGACGAGGCCAATGGGTTCCTGGCGGAACATGCACGCGCCTATAGCGACCTCGTTGCAAAGGCAAAAATCAATTATTCACAGTGAATCATAATTAATCACAGCGTTTTCAAGAAATGTTTATATTAATTTTCTTCAACCGCTTTCTACGAGTCATGTTTTCTCATGCATAGAATCCGGCACTAGCAAGCATTACTTTACATTAAGTGCAGACATGAAACATTATTTTGAATACAATAAAGTAACGTTGGCAATTTTAAATTATATTTAAAAAAATAGGAAACAAAGCCAAAAATAACCTTTTCGTTTCTACAGAGTGAGGCCAGCGCCAAGGAGAACGCTGCTCGCGAAAAGGAGATGTTGGAGAGGGTGGCGCTGCTGGAAAGCGCTCTCCGGGAACACGAAAAGAGTCCTACCATGAATTACTTGCCGACTGCAGATGCAGAAAAAGTTCAAAAAAATTCTGCAGATGTAAAAATGTCAGATTCTAACTCGCAATCTCTCAAACTAAACAAAAAAGATTGCATGCTTGAGTTTCACATAGAGAAAGCAATATTCGATTCTTCAGCTTACGATAAACAGAAGACTTTCGTGTCGTGGATAATGCCCTTCAGCGTGGAGGACCCTCTTCAGCACACCGACCTGGCCATTGGGTCTATTGCAGCATACAGACATACGTCGCTCTATAAAATACCATTAAAATCCTTGAAGCAGATCGAAGGAAATATAGCTCGTAAGTACTGCTGAAACCCACATCAACAGACAATAAACTTAGTTGATTTTCCGACTTTGAACGCATGCCAAAATGCAAAAATATACTCCTCAATCTATGCGGTGACTTTTCAGCAGCGTTACCTGTTATAAAAGTACTGAAACATCGAATATGCATGTCCTGCCTTTCAGTGGAAGTTTACGTTCTTCTGGGCGACGGTTACCCGGGCAAAGTTGGTGATGCAATCATTCCGTTGACGCCCGTGCTGGCCGAGAAAACGAATAACGTCATCGACGGCACCTGCGTGGTAGTACCAGCGCAACCCACACAACCAAGCGTCTCAGCAGAACTGTGTACCGTACCAAACCAGCTACTAATGTGTGAAAGTCAGGTGTGTTTAGCATGTGTACTCCATGTACAAATATTATGATTTCATCCCAGTATAATTTATATGTTCTATCTGTGACGGATGCAATGCAAGTTTTTAACGCTTGATCGTTCTCTCATGAAGTCGTTCTACTTTCGAATGCTTTCGAATACTTCAACAAGGACGACCAAAAGATCCGTGTCCTTTCAAAGCAGTAAGCTGAAAATTTACAATTCATTCTTGCTATTTACAAAAGTGTTATTTATCTACAAATAGAATTAAAAATTGATAAAATGAACATCATTCCTAGAGTGAGCCCGGCAAGTTAAACAATTTAACAAATAAATCCTCATGCATAAATTTTATTTCAGCACGATCGTGTAGTAGGACCAAATTAAAAAATTTATTTAATTGTAAATAAAAAACTAGGTTTATGGGGATTTTCGTGTTACAATCCATCAGCTAGGCACTCTAAGCTACAAACTGCGCCTGCAAAAACCGATCTCCTTGGATATTGGCGGTTCTTCCTCCGCATCAGCGTCGGGTGCTGTCATGCAGGGGCAGGAAGAAAATCAGACTCCAGCCTACACAGCCCCGCCTGCTGAAGTTGACCAGGTCAGATCTCCTATGAAATAAACTGTTTAGTCAACATAACATCATTCGATTCAAATTTTAAGCTTTGCGGGGAGATCAGTTTACCCAATTTCAGCTAATATCAGTTTTCAACATCATGCAGGAGTGAATTTTTTAAGAATTAAATTCGGAAGTAAAAGGTATTTTTCAAATTGACACGAACAATTCAATATTTAAATACATGACTCATTAGTTGCAGGGTCAAATCCCAATCCCGTCAGCACGTACGTTTCCGCAACCTCGCAATGACCACAAACGTAAAACTTCGTTGCGACGTAAAATGCAGGATTACAAGCACCGGAACGACAGCATACACGAGACCGAAGACGAAGAAGACGAACAAGACTCATACTACGCCGTCCCAAATTCTGAATCCGAAACGGAGGGAATTTACGAGCGGAATGCATCTCTCTTAATGAGCAACGTGAGGCAGCGAGGTCAGCTGACTGTTGAACGTGAGTCTGTTCGTGGCCAGAAAGATTCGTCGAGCAGACCATCCAGCAGTAAAAGACCAGAAAAGAACAGTGGGCATGAAGATTCAAGAAGAACGTTAGCGGTAAAAGACCGTCCTACATCTTCGAAATCCTATAAAAATAGAAGAAAGGCATCTGCATCTTCAAGATCAATCCACAGATCATTGGAACATATTCCTAAGAAAGGAGAAGAGATTAACTCCGAAGATCGCTCCCGCACAACGCTGAGGAAGAAATCATCGTCCAACCGACCTCGCTCAGCTCCAAAGAAAGACGTGAGATCAACTATGGTTTTCACTAAAAACGAATATTTTTATAATGTTGGAAATTTTCGAACGCTAAAATCGAAATTTTTAATTTCGTGTATAAGGAAAACCTGACAATATTGCAACTGGAATGACTACAATTGACCAGCTGCTAATTTTGAGCTTTTAAAATGTATTAAAAGTCGTGCAGGAAGTGATTAGAGAATAATTACTGACTTTTATTCAAAGATCAAATTGAGCACACTATTTCTCACAATATTTAATTTTGATGTTAAATATGAAAAAAAATTTAACGATGTTTCATTGAAATGAGATTCTCCATCATGAACGGGGTTCAAGTCTTCATCGTGGGAGGAACGTGACCAATGATAACTTTCACACTGTCATGTAAAATAACAATCGAACTGTTCTGACGGCAGAGAGAAGTTTACCACAGTTCTTCGACATCGACGGAAAGTGATGAAGAAACTACATCCATCGAAGGTCCAGCAGATCCACTGAAGGATGATGGCACACTTTCATCCGGAGATCCTTCTCCTAAAATCAGGAGCAAACGAGCAGCGGAAGAAGAGGTTCCTAAATTGAATGTACCCACACATTATTGATCCTATTATGTTGTCTTCAGCGTTCGAGTCGGAATATCGTACTTAGAAAAACAGCCGCTTAGATTGTCATAATGTAGAAATAAAACTACCGATAAAATTTAAACCACAGACAAGATATTATGAAATAAAAAAAGGTGAAACAACCGATAAAATACCGAACTATCTTGGGTCTCGTATGGCGATTACGAAACAATTGGGACCATGCAACAGATTGGACAATACTAAGTAGAGTTTTCCATCTCTCTAATTGCCAGATTTTTTGAAATTATATTTATGAACTCTCGTAATTGAACAAATTTTCTAATACGATGAACATTTAGGGATGTGGGTCGTCACTCTCCAGCTCCAGCCTAACCTCCGACGCCTCCATGTCGGAACATAGAATCTCTACCGACTCTGAGGGGGTGGTGGCGTGCGTACCGAGGAAGGTAAATAAATACTTATTATTACCTTAATTAGTATCTGTACTCTAACAAAATTCGGGGTATGCATCAGCCTCCGCCCCAGAGTTGCTATATTCGCGTTAGAGTTATTCTGGGTCAGTTGGCCAACTGATCGCAATCAGCGACTAGCCAGAACCAACTTGCCAACTTTACAGTCTCCTGAGAGTAGGGCAAGAGTTGGCAGCATACGGACCAGGCGCTTGTAGCAGTCTGATTCGGGGACCGGAATGTAGACCAAAAAGAGGACATATATAGAGTAGCTAATTTACGTTCGGTCCGAGTCCTAGGCGGTTCCTAATTCAGGGTCGCCACCAACTCAAAATTTTGATTGGGATAGTATTTGTTTCGGGCGTCACAGTAACAGGCCAAAATGGATCGCCGACTCTATCACTATAAATACGACATTGGAGAATGTTACATGACTTAGTAATGTCTTTTACTGGACATAAGTAGATTGCTTTTCTTCGCATTAATGGCTGAACTCAAATAGGTTAAATTGTTGAAAAGAAAGTGTAAGAATCGAGATTTTGTGTACGAAATCGTGTAGATTTATACACGGAAACAGCTGCATTCATATATTGTTTCGCTAGAAGAAATATTTTAACCCTTGGTAACCGACATTGCTATTCACATCTAAATGGCTTGCAACTTCTGTCAGTAAACAAAAGATTAAACAGGTAATGTAAGCACGCTATTCAAACGAGGATGAACCACATTATTTGCTAAGCTAATACGAGTTACTAGTACACCAGTAAGAAATTTCGTTCGGCTTGTTGAAAAAAACAAAAAGAAAATTGTTAATAAAAAGTATGCTCTAGTCTTCAATCAAACCTGCATATACGAAGAACTTCTGCCCAACTACACTATGAGCTAATAACATAACATAACGTTCAGCAACAAGTTTTTCTACCCAACTCTTTAGAGGTCAGGAGGGTCGAACACCGCTGACACTGTGGTGGTGAGCATCAGGCAGCTAACGGTGATGTCAGACGAGCTCCTCACACGAAAACCAAACTACAAATTCTTCGTAAGCTTCCATGGCTTCCTTCCTGTGCCAGACCAAGACCTCGAGACTCCTAATTCCGTCGGCGTGAATTCGTTAGGAAAATCCGCAGACTTCCATTTCCGGAGAGGTAAATACGCATTCAGAATGACTTGCCTTCAATTAATTTAGAAGTGGGCCCTTATATCAAACAAAATTGAGAATATTTTTGCAAATTCACAATTGGAATATTTTAAAAATTGTCAATGCAAAAGATCTAATCCACATCTACATGAACGATGGGAATGCTCAAAAAATAAAACATTACAACGTTATTAAGAAGTAATTTGCATGAAAACATATTGTGTCTATTGTTAGAAGTTTACAGTTAATAAGGTTTCGAGAATTTTTTTCATAATTTTTATTCTTCTTTTTTTCTTCTTATTCTTTTATTTTCATTTCAAGGTTGTTAATTTCTTCATTTTTACTTTTAATTAACCTTAAAAATGTATTGCCTGCTTACCTGTCATGCGCTCTAATCATGAGAATGAATTGGCAATTTAAGGGGATCGACCTGGCTAAAATCGATCAATTTTGGCTTTTCCGGTTTTTCTACTCATCTTAAAGCTGGAATTCTGCTCTTTCAAATGGTACCACTGCCATCTCTCTACGTGAATATTTACGTTCATGACGGCTCTTTAAACGGAGGCGGGTGGGAGAGTTCTTTAAGAAATTAGATACAAAGTAAATAAATGCTGAAATCTTTGAATATAGTTTCTACCTGAGTTGTGCTGCAGTTACTTGCTTAGTTTCATCCTAAAGCTGACATTCTGAGCTTTAAAATGATACTACTGCGATGTATGTAGGCCAAAATTGACGCACATGGCCGCCCTTTAAGGGGGGGTGGGGGGTGGTGTTCCTTAACATTATAGCCCTGCTAAAATTACGGCGCCATGACTACTACATAAATAGCAGTATCTGGCTGTTCTGGGCTTCTGGCAACTGGCTTCAGTCACCCTCCTAACTTCGTACGGAGAGGTGCGCTACAAGTTGCTGCTGGCTTCCTTGAGTGGACTAAGCTTCAGAAGCCAGCAGTTCGGAAGCCTTGCTACATTGAGTGCCTATTTCGAGGCGCGCGGGACTTTGTCGCGCTCTCCTCAACATTCACACTTATTGTCACGGAAAACCTATCTCCTCCTAGAGTTTTCAAGCTACAGCAATGCGACATATACCGTTCGATTCGTAAAGACCAGGCCTATCGACTCCATCATTCCTTTTTTTTTTTGAATTTCGGTCTGGTTCGTTTTTTATATGGGGAAGAAGGGGGCGGGGAGGGGTGAAAAATGTAAAAATGTGTAAAAATGGGAAAAAACGTCATAAAAAAAACTAGGTGGAAAATGAAAAAAAGGAATGATAGAGTCGATAGATATGGTCTTTACGAATCGAATGATACGTGTCTCGATGTTGTAGGATGATATTTGTGGGAGGAGATAGATTTTCTGAAGTACTCTGAAGTACCCCTTTTTAGCCGTTTTCTATGAATTTCACGTTTTCTATCAATTTTTTCGAAAAATTCATAAGAGCAAAATGTTTTTATTTTCACATTTTACGTATGTATGTGAAGTTTCATGACAATCGGATAATAACTGTAGAAGTTTTCAAAATGCCAGGTCGATCCCCTTAAATGTTGACAAAGGCCTTGAGTCTCGAATCTCGGGTAGAGAAACCTTAGAATGTCTGTTTAATTTGTTGTTTCTCAGCCAATATATATGAGAATGCATTCCTCAATCTTAAAAAAATGGAGCAGTTATTCTTTACGCTGTACAACAGCATTGAGATCGAAAGCATTTGCAAATATGCTGCATATTCTTTTTAGCCTTTTGTATATGCAAATTACCCGTCATCAATGTATTCATATATAAAGCCCCGGTAGTAGATATGGTTAGTAGATAAATAGTTATAGAAACTTTGCAGATCTTTCACTCGATCAATGGATGAATTTCTGCGGAATACAGTACTTAGGTACTTCTGAAATTCGGTGGTAGAACTTGACCTTATACCTGCAGAGTACAACGTTTCATCGGAGCGTCACCCCGGGCGGAGAGAAGCGCTCAGGAAACTCGTACAAGGAAAAGATGCCAACATCAACTTTTATCTCAACGCTGAGCCTCCAGTTGGGAAAGACGCTATCTGCGAAAACCTCGGGTATGGCTTCGGTCGAGACGGATCTTTGATTAACTGTGGTTTATCTGCACGTTTTTACTCGGGATATTTAATTTCATTCAAGGTTATTCGCGTCTCGAACTTTCTGGTGATTATTAATAATAGAGCGAATGTGGATAACATGTAGTTGAGAATGTAGGTAACAGATAACACCTATTTTCATGTTATTCAGGAATCCGAAGTTTTTTTTCAGTATCCTCTACATTATTGTGATATATCGGGAACTTATTTTCAGTTTTGTAAGTAACCCGCAGTTACTTCGCACAAAGGTAATGAACTTTAACATATTTTCCCCGATAATTTTAGCATTCCCACTATATCGTGTTTACAGGGTCGGGAGCCTGAATCTCCTACAAGTTGCTGATGGCGGTTTTGATGGCAAGTTGGTAAAAGTGGAACTCGAGAGCCGCCCTGGCTGCACCATCGCAACCATCAACGTCGCTGTGACCATCAAAGCAGTTCTTGACGAGCTCAGAACAGCCGGGTCATCCGTTGTAAAAAGACGTGTGTAGGAGATCCATTTGAAGTGGTCATCACGAGTGTCTAGAGAATGAAGCAAGCTTTGGATCGTGATCTGGTTACATGATGAATATGAGAATCGAAATCACGATGCTCTACTGATCTGCAACTCACCCGCAGGGATAGCTTGAGATCAAAGGAGCCTCCAGAGCCTTAAGTAATTCATATTGTCCGTGCGCACTGGTTTCTCATCGAGTGATAGCGCTTAAGAACTGAAATTGTATACGAAACGATCAGGCCTTAGTGGCTTGCAAGTGGTGTATCACAACGTTTATAACAAGTCAGCAGAGCAAAGTTACTAGTACATGCACTTCAGTGGAACTTTAAAGAAGAATATAACCGCGAGTCACACATAGAATTTTTTTACTTTCTATTGAGCGAAGTGCAAATGAGCGATATGAAGGCATTTGAAAAATTCTACTTCATGTAGATATATTAACGTAACTTGTCAATATGGGCGTTGAAGAATAGGCCTAGTTTGTTTTTCGTCGAATAATATTACTTTTACAAAAAAATGAACTTCAACAGATAGCACATGAAGTCCTACATGCAATCATAGCTGAAATTAAAATATGGGGGGGGGGGTGAGAGACGAAGCAACACGTCTACGTCTACTCCGAGCGACTTCTCGCATTCACTTTTTTCGACGACCAGAATTTGTTTGTGTGTTTTCTTCAGAGGAATTTTTACTAATTCTCTACTTGAATTTATCATTAATATCCTACTTTATCCTACTATCAAACCCTGTAACCTAGGAAAATAGTTCTGCAAAGAGAGCAGGGCGCATAAATTCTTAAACAAAATACACGAATTCCCAGCGGAACCGTTGTTACCGATATTCTGCCGGTCTTAGTTGAAAAATTAGTTATTTTCTGCCTGCTACCAAATAACTACTCGTACCTGGTTAATCTCCAAGTAAGGTTTAGTACTTGGAATTATGGAAAAATATTATGATTTTACGTATTGGATCATGGAAAAATAACGATGAAATTTCATACTTTTATTGAATCAAACATTCATAATTTGAAAAAAATCTTTTGAAGAGTGCATATTACGTACTTCTAGTTAATATAAATCTACACAATACGTTAAGCAAACACTAAATATAAATCTACACAAGACATTAAGCAAACACTAAATTTCATAAGCAATTGAACCCTGCTAAGAGTGGCCGCGAAATAGAATAACAGAAACAATTTCTCATAGGACAGCGACACTGTTCACCGGGTTGCTATAGCTGTGAATGACGTACGAACAATTATTGCACTTTAACGTTCGAAACGTCTATCCTGATGGCCAGAATACAAGCATGTTTCAAACTAATAGTTTTCACCAATAAGTTTTCAAATAAGTCGTCACCAATAAGTTTTCATGAACAGTATTCCAGGTATTTTATGGACCGTCAATCCATACGGAAAGATTGAGAATCAGGCAATCACGGGTAATGACAAAAATAGAAAATAAATGGCGAACAAAACGGGAGACATGTAGGACAGTGGTTCAAAAGATCAGTAACAAAAATTTATGTTACAGCGCCTCACAATCATGTATTGATGTTTCAGTGCGACACATTAACTGAAATTTGTTTGAAGCAACATTAGATTAGTAGAACAAATGTTATATAATTTCAGAATTGTTAAGAAAAGCGATAAAAATACAAAGTTACGAACAATTTGGTCCAGGAAAAGACGATAAAAAAATGTTGCAAAACAGAGCTATGTTTGATTTAAGCCAAAATAATTTGGACTAGGGCAACATCCGAAGACCGATGAAGGTATTTTTTAAAATTAGTTAATATGCTTTATATAGAAACGAATTGGTATTTCGAGCACCATCATATAAAAGGGCGAATTCAGCATTTTCTCATAAATAACTACTGTCATTCACACGATGGAACCAGTCACCGAGGCAACAATTAATGATCTACAGAAAAAATAAAGCAACAGTAGAAGATGAATGATGAAGCAACAGTAGAAGATGAATGATGAAGCAACAGTTGAAGTTGAACGATAAAGAAACGGTAGAAGATGAATGATGCAGCAACGGTAGAAGATGAATGATGAAGCAACAGTAGAAGCTGAATGATGAAGCAACAGTAGAAGATGAATGATGAAGCAACAGTAGAAGATGAATGATGAAGCAACAGTAGAAGATGAACGATGCAGCAAAAGATGAATGATGAAACAACAACAAGTATCTACTGAAGTTACGTTAACGTGCTGAATAATTGCCATAAGAGGCCGTCAGGTTGACCGCACGCGCGGTTACTGTTTGGGCGGCGGTGGGACGGTAGCGGCGTAGGCGTTGAGGGCGTTAGCGTACCACGTCATCTCCCTGACGAGGGCGTCAGCGCTGACACTCACGCGCTCCTCCAGACACGTGCCATCCTCTGACAACTTCTGCGGCACCTGCACGAGGATCATCAATGCTGTTGTTTGTGGACAAGAATTTAAAGCAAATAAAACTCTAAGTAAATTCACCTTATCTTCATGAAAACTAGCAAACAAGAATTTAAAAGCAAAGAAAACACTAAGTAAATTCACCTTATCTTCATGAGAACGATTCACAGACCAGTTCCATCATTAGTTCAAAACACAATCGTTCGCCACTCATCACATAACAAGCAAAAACGCAAACACATATATAAATCAGAGTTTAAAAAAAATACATCATTAGAAATATTCGCGTTGAAAGATATTAAAATAGGGAATTTAATGATGTCAGTTTCACAGGAACCGCATACAGGCCAGCACTTAAATTGTTACAACCTTTATATCCTGCAATTAGCCAAGTACATAAAAGTGCAAATATTGATAAGACTAAGACGCTCTAGTTAGCTATGTACATATTTTGTTACAACCTTTAAATAGTACTATAAGTAGCCAAGTACTTACAAGTGCAAATATTGATAGGACTAAGACGCTCTAGTTAGCTATGCACATATATTTGGGGTCTGAGGCGGCTCTAGAATAACAACAGATGGTAATTACGTTGGGGATTACGACGCTCTTGGGGAGAGGAACGAGACCGAGTTCGTTGAAGAACGGCAGAACCAGCGCCGCGGCGCGTAGCCCGCCGAACTGACCTATGAGACGGCACTGATGTTAGCGCGGCAGTAATTAATGATGATTAGCGTATTGTCAACAATGATTATAATTATCATGTTAGCGCGGCCGTAATGTAAGATAATTCGAGTATAGTCAATAATGAGTCTAATTATCACATTTTTATTATTTTATATTCTAATCAGTGTAATTATCTCGAAAAATAAATCTGAATCCACGAAATGTACTGTACACTATCCTGGTGATATGTAAATGATCAAATAACAAGAAGGCGAGAATATAGTTTTGCATGGAAGGTATATTGAAAATAAGTAGCGCAACGAACCTAATATTTGGGCAGTCAAATTGTTATAGAGAATTTAAAATACATATTCATCAGCCACCTCGAAAATTACTACCAATGATGGCATCGATAAATAAATTTTTTAAAATAAGAAATAATCAGAATTAATAATTGACTAAGGTAACTGCATTCACAAAATAAAACTTGCATAACTAGTCAGTAGCATAGCATGCATCTGATCACTACAAGCTGTCTTCACGTTAACACGAAGAAAATCAACGGGCACACGCTTTCAGTAGAGACCGGGTAAGCGTATCAGATAATTTCGTCCATTTTTAGATACGCATCAGTTTTTAGCGTTAATTATCTAGCTTCATTTTATCCAAAATTTAATTTGCTTACCTATCGAGTAGCAGACGATGGACACAGGCTTGTGCCGGAATGAAGCGGGAGGAAAGTTGTTAAAGACAGCGAGAAGAGCAGGAGGAGGCGCACAGTTGTACTCCGGCGTCACAACAATCACGCAATCGCTGCCCTGAAATAAACACATCAATCCAGATGATTGTCCCTGTTTGACATTCACATCTGGGAACTTACACTGTAACAAAATTAGATCAGTACTACTCACTGCAGTGAGTGACAGAGATTAGTCAGTATCATGCCACATGACGAGCACAACGTCACGGACAGACGGACATGACGAGCACAATAGCGCCTTTTTTCCATGAATGAGAAAATGCGCAAAAAAGTAATTTGTGTGGTAGTAGGTAGGTTCCGGCTGAAGCCTTGACAAGTTATCAGATGGTTCAATATTAGAATGCGATAGCAAAATTATTGAAAGTAAAACCATAACAATAGTATAGTAAGGGGAGAATAGAAATTTTAAGAAAACAATAAATAAATCAAATGCGTGCTAATTTGGAAAAATGAGCGAAAAAATTCGTGCGACGCCCGCAGGAGCATAGTATAGTTAATAAATAGCAATATCTCTAATTAGAACCACATCGTTCGAGATTTGATAATGTGGTGCGTGAAAAGGTTAAAGGTACCGCATAAGTGCGGTAGAAAATTTAAGGCCTAAATCCAGGCCAGATTCTAGGCTGAAAGTGTAGATGTTGTTCAATAAAGCTAATAAGTTAGTATTCCAAACCAGTAAGCTATGATAGCAAGCAAGACAGAAACTAGTGGACCAAAACATCGTTTCTAGTGAGAGGTACAAACCTTAATTATCTCATTGGTATCGGTCATCCACTGAGGAATTTTCGAAGGGTCTCGGTGAAAATGAAGAGGACAAACGACCGTGCCCTCATTTGGCAACGCCTCAGGGTCTGAGTCAGATAAAAGAAAATTACATTATTACGATACTGTTCATCCGAGCAGCACCCGGTACAGAAGGATGGCGGATAATTCTAAGAACTCTAGTCACTTAATTTCATAGATTCATAAGACTACTATCGTTATATGATCAGAATGAAGCATAAATAAAAAAACAATGTGAGACTAACAATGTAAACCACGACAAAAAGGACTGGAAGTTCCCCAGCTTCATTCCTTTACGATGCCGATTACGACTATAGGTATGTGACATGAACTTCGAATGTCCAAAGCTGCTATCAAGTCATTGAATTTGACATCACCCTGAATCCAATTTGGCGAAAGGTGTTCGAAAATGACGACTTGTTTGAAAATTAATTAGCATATTTGGACTGAACTTATTCATTGTAGAAATAAAGACTTACGTTATTATATTACAACCACAAACGGCATTATCATCACATTGAACCTAATTACCTAGGACCGTGGGTGAGTGACCAGCTTGCTTGACTTTATTTTGGATGAACTTGGAGACACGGTCGGCCATCCTGCCCTCCCTCATGCTGCCCAGCACCACCAGCACTTTCAGCGAGGACGTCATCCTAAACAGTGGACGCATAAGTTAAGTTAGGCCAAGAATTCTATAGTCATTTTACGCGCAATGCTTAAATGATGAAACCGCTACAGTGGTCCATGGAAAGCGAACTTCACGAGTTTTACCGCAACGTTTGGAATGAGCACGTTACGTTAAGTTAGGCTAAGTTTAACTCCAGAACTGTCTGATTCTCCGAAGCGTTAGAAAACACGCGCATTAACTATATTATTTCACGTTGGTTAAGGGAAATATAGGAAAACTCTTCTTACCGCTTTAACTCTGCTAAAAAAATAATGAACATAACGAGCGTTTCCTGCCTGCCACACGGCGGAGAACTTGGACTACTCAAGTTGCTTTTTGCAAGTCATTCCTCGTCCTCGGTGCCGCGTTTCAGTGAGTAGCGTCAATACACGCTTATTGATCACTGGATGAACCTACATCTGACTATAAGAGCAGAGCAGCTCTAGGCACAATTTGAGATCAATAATTCTTCTCGCAGACACTTAGTCTTACCAGTACAAGAAATAATTCCCTCAAAACGGGACTCTGCAACAAATACTGCTGAAGGAACGACACAGGCGACTTACTTTTCCCGATCGCAGTTAGGGTCTCGCAAGCCTCTTAATTAATCAATGATCAGTCTTGTCACCTTCTTCAGTATGCTTTAGTGACCGCTTTACTAGTTTCAAATCCTTGATCAAGAAACTGTACCTATATCTTTCACGGCAATATTAAGACAATTCTGGAAAAGTGAAACATGAAGTATGTTAAAAGGCAAGAATTTGTTAGCGTAATCTAAAATGATAGAAGACACTGAAATTATATAAATAAAGAAATGTCTTTAGCGCAGATTAAGCCGCACAGTAGTCTCGTTTTTTTTTCTTTCTCATCATTTTTGAGCAGCTATTTGAAGTTTACGTCGTTAATTGGATTTAGTTTAAACTTTTTGGTCGAAAATTCCTTCAGTCTGAATCAAACTCAGATCAAATAATATACGTTTAAAAAATACTTTCTAAAGACAACACTTCTAAAGAATCCAGTGTCTGCAATGTTAAAGATGTACAATAAATTTCTCATTTTTTTTTCGAATATTACAAAATTAATTTTTACATTTTTTTTCAATTTTTTTTTCGCAAAAATATTTATTCTGTCAATTGATTCAAGCATTACCTCCGACTTCACACAAGTGTGCAAATTTTCCGATAAAATTGGACAGGTAAAAGTGTGTCCAACATCAGTTAGCCTATAAGATTTGCAGCAGACAAAATTATTTTTTAATTTTTTTAATATTGAATTTTTTTAATTTTTAAAATAATTTATGTTGTCATTTGATTCGTGCATTGTCTCCAACTTTACGCAAGTGTGCAAAATTTCAGGTCGATAGGATAAGTAGAAGTGTGTTAAATTTCGATGCAAGTTGCAGTCAAGAGCAATACATCGAATACAGCAGAAGTGTTATGTAGCACATAAAGCAGTTTTACCGCAAGACGAATTGTATCATCTGGTACCCGATACTTCCAGCTAGCCTGCACAGTAATTGAATGTCCCATCATACATCATTACGTAAGACTGATAAGGTCAGTTTTTCGGTACTGATAGCAAGACTCGGCTCTATATCATAACGATCACTAATATAAAGAACGAACGCAATTCTAAGCCAAAAGTTGTATAATATCTCCGGTTATTCTCAATTGTTTTCCAAACATGTACTTCCAGCCTCTGATCGTAGCTGCGGAGCTTCCCACGCACAACACTTCACCGACGTCGAGCAGAGCCTCACTGATCTTCCTATAGAGTACACTCAGTACAGAACCAGGAACGCTGCTCACCTCCAATCTCATTTGTAACTGACGCTACATTTTTAACCGGCATTCTTGAAGGTCACGCTAAAGTCGCGTCAATTGTGCCATTTCATCTCAACCGTCGGTTACACCACATTTTCCATTCGCCTCCGACTCTTCCAGAACACAACATGTGTATATAAAAATTAAGTCATTGATCGCGGTTAAGTGGCAGCGAAATGCTAGACGCGAACGTTACTCAACAAGTCAAACTGTCATCCAAACTGACGAGATAATTTTTTCACGTGAAATATATTAAAACTTTTCTAAAAGAATATCGATGTGAATATATACGATTCCTAATATCCAAAGAGTTCTAATATATATAGGTTTTAGTGAACATCGCGTATGCAATTTTTAGTAGCACAATTGCAAAACTACCTCGAGTTGATTACAGTTCTCGCTCGTTCCTTACGTTTCCCTAATTTCGGAATTGTTGATCATGCTGCTGGCAAATCATTTATATATTTTGAAGTGAAGCGCATTGTAGTTTCAAAATACCCACACAATTTGTTTCAATAGTACATCACTGATAAGTCATTCAAATACACGCACCAACTGTCATAAATGTGAATGATTCCTGCCGAAGAGTAGTTTGGTTGGGATCTATAATGTAGGCAAGAATCATTTACTATACATCATAACTAAACAATTGCTATGATGAAAATTGAATATTTACGGTGACATTACAATTACGATGACTTTCTCCACTCCATACGTATATTAAAAAAATCGATATGATTCATTATCAAGTTATTTCAAAAGTTGCGCTTAAAGGGCTTCAGTTGCGTCTGCTCCAACTAGAAGTTATCAGAAGTGAACATCAGACGTAATATTTCACATGAATAACCATTCGTTGGAGATTAAATACTATGGTATTTTTGTACACTATGAGATTATGCAACCAACAGAAGTTCACAAATATTTGTAACTTATTTGATGAACCCTAAACTCTTGAGTTCTGAAATTTATTAATAGTTTTACTCGGGATACCCGAGGAACGTGGATTCCCCTAACGATGAGGTTCGAGAACATAGAGTCATGATAAAATGTTCTCAAGCCGACCATCGTTCCCGTGAGGTCTGTAATATCACGACACTAAACAAAGCTTTGTATCTACTGCTGCTTCAGCTAAGAATTTCATTGATCTGCACTTCAATTCACTTAATATTATTGTTTTATTTGTGCGTTTATGCATTATTTTATTTGCGCGTTAACGCTGGAAAAGTTTTTCTGCAACGACGAGAAATTTAAATTCATTCAGAACAAATTGTCTGAGGAAGGGAGAGCTTCATCCTCGCAACATCATGTTTTGAAGTTATTAAAAGGAAATGAAACTACACCCTCAACAATAAAATTTCTTCCATGTTTTCAAAACAAATTTATCCCGGGGCGTAGATCTAAAAAAGATCCTTTTCCCACGTATTCCTGTATATCTGGTAACGCACAGCAGTAATTTTGAAAACATATGTAGCATTCACAAAGCTCATTGGCGCTTCCGAATATGTTATAACGCAACGTTAGTCACAAATTCTACATTGCCAACAAGTGGCGAAAAGTCTCGTGGAGGAGGAGTGCTGCCGCTGACAACAGAGTTGTAACGACAAGGGTTACGGAGAGACAAGAACAAAGATAAGATGAGAGAACATCAACATAAACGGCGTCCATCTAACAGAGGTCAGATGAGGGAACAGCAACATAAACGAAGTCCATCTTTTTAAAGTCATACGAGAGAATAGCAACATGAACGGAGTCCTCGTAAAGAGGCCAGACGACAGAACAGCAACATAAACGGAATCAATCTTAAAGGTAAACGCTTGAAAGAGTCTTCAGTTGCGTGCACGAGTGACTGAGAACATAAGTTCAGGAAATCCTGCCTAAGCAAAAAAAAAAAAAAAAAAAAAAAATAGGTAAGCTGTTCAGGCAACGCAGAGCCTCGCAGGATTTCTGGCTGTCCAATGAACAGGTCACACGTGCGGCTAATGGAAAAAATCGTATAAATGTCTGCCTTAAATAAAAGTCGTCCGCCGCCTACTAGCATTAAACCATAGACACAGAGAATTACTAATGGTAGAACTAGCATTTAGTACCTATAGGTTCTTTAACGAGGATAAATTTAAGTGAGCAATGGTTTTATTCACTTCTTATCATATTTACTGTTGAGAAGTTCATGAATGTACCGGGTCGCTATTTTTTTTTAATATGGAGTCTTATAAAATAGGAAAATTTGACGGGAAATCCATCAGAAAAAGAGATGTATTAAAAAAAGTCAGGTAGAAGCACGGTTTCTGGATTGAACAAAGCTTGCAACAACAAAGAATAATTTTAGGTTACGTTATATATCCAAATTAATCAAAATGTTAAGTTAACACCATTCATCTACAATTACTCTCATTTCAGCTACGATATTGAAAAATTGTGTTTCAAGAGCGAATCATAATTATTCTAATTGCATTGTATCATTTGTCTAGCTTCAAAAATCTTTTGAAGATAATGTAACGAGGACTGAAATTTAGAACGGTCAATGTGCAATTTTGAGACGCTCTATTGAGATACTCCGACGATAGGTAGGTCAATGCGCACAATAGGTTAATTACGATGATAAAAAATAATAACGCAAATGATGGCAATAACACCTACAGGTTTACGTCAATTAATGTATGAATAGTCGTATAAGCAATCTCAGCGTCAACTGTCATTCGACTCAGTGGCAGTGCAGGCTTTTGGCGCTGGGAGCTAACATCCTCGCCGAGTGTAACAATGCAAGTCATGGAGTCTAATACGATGATAAACAATTTATTTCCATAATCCAGGAATCAGAAACATCAGGGTTCATTTCAAGGTCATGAAGTACTTGATATGAGTCCAAGGTATCCAAGATTTCAACTTATGTCGAAACAGCGCCAATGTTTGGAACATTTTAGGAGTAGCAACATTACCAGTTTCAGCTAAATTTTGACAAAACTACTAACAACGAACTACGATCGATTAAAAACTTTACAAATCAAAACACATCTGAAATATGGGAAGTAAACATAAATAAAATAATATCGCAGTATAATGCCGTTCAGGAACTTAAGGTGACAATGTAAATCATAAGTGACCCATTCAAAAATATGTTTTTAGAATATAAAGCTACATCTTAGAGAGGATTTAAACGCATAATTTTACAGTACTTATTGTGCAGGTCCTTAAACGTTAATTTAGGAGCTGAATAAATCAGACATGAGAAGTAGGACATCTGATGAAATTAATGCACTCTTAAAAATTTTGTTCAAAGCCCGAGGAAGAACATGCAAGGAGCCGACAATGATGAATAGCGAAGAATGTATATGATGGTCAATATCAAAGAATGCATGACGATATAGACAAAATTATTTACAATAAATAGTATACAGAACAAACATGTCAAAATCGGACTAAATTGACTAGGCTCCTTCCTATTCCAGCCCCAATACGTGGGCTGTAGCAGCTTTCGAAGATTTCTCTGCAAAAAAATAATAATGATAAATAAAAAAGCCTCTTTCTATCCTAGCAAAACACCACGGAGCAAACGCATAACATTAGAGAGCTAAGGATGAGTAACACTGAAATGCCGAGACATTATTAACGAGACATCACGTCAAGTCAGAACTGCGAGAGAATGCTTTTTAAAAATAAATCGGGTTTCAGAACCCATTATACTGGCGAAATGAAAGGAGCAAAAAATACTGGTATTGTTTCATAAGTAAAATTAAAATCATAAAACTCCAATAGAGATTAAACAAGATGCAAAATCCATTGCTATAATAAACCACATATTTCCATTTCAGATTTTTTCACGTGACTTTTCTGAATGAATTCATAACGGGCAACATCAAAAATGTAGAAACGCTGTTCAAAAAATATTCGTGGCTTTTAAAAAGCAGTCCAATAGCAACATAGCCGTAAGACAGGCTATACAAACGAACAAGAACAAAACACTACTACGAACTGACTAAAGGCAAAATGCACTGACACAAACTTCATTAAACAACCGCTTCATTGACCTAAAGGTTCCTTTGAGCACAAGATAGCAGAGCTATAAAAACATTTTAGAAAGCCTAGATGAACTCTACGATCTCCAAGCCTGTTTGACTGGAGACTCTGAAGAGCTGCGAGATGATTTAGACGGGGAACCAGAATCGAGTCTACGTTTGGCCTTAGCTGCAGGTTCTAGAGGAGAGTTGGTTTCAGGCCCTAGAGAGTTTGTCGCCGGATTCTCTTCAGTAACAGTCTCAGGCATAGACTGCGTCCCTGTAGAGACCTTACAAGCCGATCCCGGCCGTGGCTTTGGTCTTGGAGAGCAACGAGGCGCCGGGGAATTGCCAGTTCTTGGCGTGATGGAGCGAGGAGCCGGTGAGCGGCTTTTGCTGGGAGACCCTCGGCTGCCACGACTCGCTGGTCGCAGAGGAGAAGACTTTGTAGAGCCGTTCTTATTTCCTATGCCGTTTTTCACAGCGAGTCTGGTGAGAGATTTCTGCAAGCCATCTATTGCATTATTGTCGCCGTCGTTGTCAGCTTGCAAAGAAGGATCTGCTATAGTAGCTGATTCTTCAGTAGCAGATTTAGTTGCATCAATGGCAGGAGTGGCTGTAGAAGCTTTAGAATGAGGCTTCAGTTTGGTTCTCTTGTTGGGGTTGCGGCGAGTTGTGATATTCTGGCTACCATTCTTCGTACCGACCACCTGCGCTGCTGCTGCTACAACGGCGTTGGTGATGTCGAGTGGCGCTTCTGATGAATAAATTGTTCATGTATAGTATAGCCAAAAATTATTAAAGACTAAACTTTAATAACTTCAGCACAAACGTAACATGAAAACCCTATACGTAAACCAAAAGCCTTTGCATAAACATTCCACGGTCTTTGTATTCCAACAATTATTTTTCTCAACAAATTAGAATGGAAGTGGCCAGAACTATGTTTCTTGCCAGAGAAAAGACAAAGTATATCAACACTAGGGAGTCCTGTTCAAAGTTTTTGAAATCCAATTACATGATGCCTTGATCTCATGCTAGGCAATACAGAGATTAGGAGACGATCATTTTCCATCGAGGTTTAGAGTCACCTTAACGTGACCTCGTTTAGTCATACTGTTTAGTGATTTATAATGGGAGATGTACTGTGGTTTTAAAAACTCGGTTTTAAAATTTTTTTTGGTGCTGATTTTGTGCGTGTCAATAGAGTTGTGCTTTAAGAAATAGTTAAAATTGTAAAAGGGGATAGTTCTTCATCAACTTGAAATTGTGATTTGGTGTCATTTTCCGAATTTCATTTAAACAAACTTTAAATTAGTTTTGTTAACACTTTACAGAAATGCTGACAGAGTAAGAAATAGATTAAAGGAATATGAATCAAAGACTTTACTATAAAAGATGTCGAACTCAAAAGTACCTCTAGGAATTGACTCGAATGGGAAATAGGCACAGTATATACCGTAATCAAACTATATTTTCAAGTTTTATTGCATTAATCAAACCTTCATTCTATCAGCTGATAGTTTATATGTTTGCCTGGCGATTCCAAGTCTTATGTCTGGAAACACTGAAGGTTTCATTTTCATATTCACTAACTAAATAGGCTCAGCAATCAAGTGGCAACGAACTTGGCACGTTCGCTACAAAACAAACAGACGATCTACAAACTATCCTGCGCATCTTACTAAGCTTGCAGCTCCTATTTTACGCATGAAAGGTACCATAAATATGGCAATAACGTATCAGTATTATTTAATTTGAGTTCATTGATATAATTTTGTAAACGTACCTTGGGATGGGACAGGTTTAGAAGCGTTGTCGTGTGGCTTCTTGGCTGCGGACTCTTCCTTCTTCTTGAGTCCCAGGCGACTGGGCCACTCGATGTCTGAAAAGCCTAGTCGTTAAATGGGCACTCACACAAATAATTTATTCAATTCATTACATGTGCAATATATAAACAATGGTAGTAATGAAATGTATTAGAATACATCAAGTTTACACTGTACTACAAACATTAAAAAATTAAGTGACAAAATGTCAAATACTTATAATTTTCACATTCAATGTTTTTATTGTTTTAAAATTAATGTTAAGAAAGTAAATCATAGACGTCTTAGATTTTCCGTATCCAAATTTCTCAAATATGAGGCTATATTTTTGATACCGGAATGTTTATTCAGAATGTGCCTAGCGAACCCTAGGCCGAAGATTGATAGTAATGGAAGCAATAATTAGTCAGAGAGAACATCATTAATAACTGCTCTTTAAACCAAATGTTTTTCCCACTTTAAACGCTTTGAAACTCATAAATTGAGAAAAGGAGAAGTTTTAATCACAGCACCTTCGAGGAATCCAGATTTGTAAAAACTGATTTGAGTGATCATTCCCACACAACCTATTCCTATAGCGTACTTCCCACAATCCTCTTTCACTATTAGATTTAAATTCGGATGGTTTCTCTCACAAAAATCACCCATTTAGCACTTAAACATAGCCAAGGACGATTTTCCTTCGTCGCATGATAGTCATTACGTTTGGTATGTGGCACTTTTTGCAACGCCAGCAAGTCAGTCAGTTTCTATTACATCTGCCAAACGAGCACCAACAATTGAGCAGTTTTCAAGTTTGCGGGGTTTTAAAGTTCAGTGAATAACATTGCTTATATATTGACCTAGAGGGTAGGGATAATACTATACATGATAAAATAGTAAAATATATCAGGTTTAAATTTAATACAGCATAAAAGAATTATGATGAGAACATGTACGGCATTTCTACTATAGAGTCCAACCAACGTATGTAATTGGCGACGAGATTAAGTTTATACACAACGAGATTAATTTGATGGTCCCAATTGAATAATTTTACCACGTGTCACGAGATGATTTAAAATATTTAAACGATACGATAAAAATTAAAGATAAATGAATCTAATAAAGCTCGTTAATCCAATCTTTGAAGTAAAAATGAATTGTGAACATTCAATTTCCTGTTTTGAAAAATTATGAGCATCCTTATTGACTATGAATTTTTGATTATGGTTATTGTGAAAATTAATTTGATCATCACAAGTATAAAAGAGTAGGCAGAAATCATTTAGAGTCGAAATAAATACCAAATCATATATATTATAAATAATAAATCATTAATCGTATACATAATAAAACGAACGTTCTGAGATAGAAGGGCCCATGTGCAACCTATGGAAAAGAAGTTGAATGAATATATAACCTTGAAACTTATTAAGCAAGACAAGCGGTAACACAAGACAGCAGCACTCGTGAGACAGTACCAGGGATGATGCCATTCTGATAGCAGATGGAGCGCAGCATTTGTAGCTGCTGCACCTTCTTGCTACGCTGCACCTGCGCCTCTGACAACAGTGACAGCTGCTCCTGCAATAGATGCTCCAAGCTCGCGTGTAGCTCCTTGGACTCCTGCACTCCGGGTTCTAGGCACCTGCAATACATCCATCGTCATGGTAAGAAGCTGCATTTTCCTGCACTGGAGATGGAGGTAGTTGGTAACACAGCGGCTACATGGAAAGCTTGACAGTAATCTTAAAGTAAAATAATCAATTTCGCAATCAAATTACAATAACTAAAACAAGTACGTACGACAAAAAAACATCCAAATTATTTAAGAGTTCATGAATGAAAAAAGCTAAAGACGTAACAAATGAGACGTTAGGAATTACGCACTGCAGACGCTGCTGCAGTACAGGAGCGAGCACCGAGGAGGTGTAGAGCGCAGGGTTGCCAGGCTCCAGCTTGTAGTCGCTGCTCGACGTGTTGCCCAAGTTGCTCAACTGCAGCGGCAGCCTCACCAAGTCACCACTACAAATTATATGCTGGTTTAAGTGAGGTTATAGAAATGGTGTTAGTGTATCCGATACAAAACAACCCGCGCGTCATTTAGCCATGGCACGAGGCAACAGAAACGCTTATTGAGGCACCACTCACGCGTCGTTGAGGCACTGTAGGAGGCATCACTCACGCGTCATTGAGGCACTGCAGGAGGCACCACTCACGGGTCATTGAGGCACTGCAGAAGGCACCACTCACGCGCCATTGAGGCACTGCAGGAGGCACCACTCACGCATCATTGAGGCACTGCAGGAGGCACCACTCACGCNACCACGCTCTGCAGGAACAGCGCCATGATTACGACCACCATCAGCACCAGCCCACCACGCTCTGCAGGAACAGCGTCAGGATTACGACCGCCATCAATAGTAGTAGTAGGGGAGAAAATTCTATTGCTTCAGGTCAGCTTCGTCTATTTCGCGCCGAAGGTGCAATATTCGGTTTTGCAGGATATTGCACCTTCGGCGCGAAATAGGAACATACAGGCAGGCCGCAAAATCGGAACAGCGTCATGATTACGTGCCTGTGCCAAAGTTCCCTTCCCTATAATTGGTTTGATAAAGACGGTTATAAGGAAAGGCAAAAGTAGAAGGTAAAAGGTGGAAGGTAAAAGATAGAAAGTAAACGATAGAAAATAAAAGGTAGAAAGTGAAAGGTAGAAGGGAAAAGTAGAAGGTAAAGGTAGTAGAAAATAATGGAAGAAGGTAAATGTAGAAGACTAGAAGGTAAAGGTAAAAGGAAAGGTGAAGGCAGCTGTAAAAATAAGGAGTCTCACCAAATGGTTGGCATGGGCGAACTCTGTGACCCTAGCGAGCGTGTCGTCTCTAACGGCGCCGCTGCCGCTGTACATCTCACCTAGCCCGTCCATTGGCAGGTACGATGAAATGTCTGTGTAAGAATGGAAATGCTTAACTATTATTATTCTGGTAATGACTTGATTTAACAATCATGTGGCTTGAGGAATGCAGCAGTGAGTAAAATATTTATTTCATTTGATAAAATTAAGATAGTACTAGCGTATTTTCAAGATATCAGTTCACGCGCGGTCATGTATGAAGTAAATGTGATGAAGTATATAATCGAGATGCGAGAGAAATAAAAATTAGAATATCGAACATACAATCCTGATAGAATGAAGAATTAAATAATACAAACTTGGAAGCATACATTCATAGAATAAAATCCACACTACGTGACAAAACATATCGAATAATCCAAACTTGGCAGCAAGGATTGCGCTTTATAGAAAATAAATGTACATGCACTCCTAGAATAAAATCCACACTACGTGACAGACCACATCGAATAATCCAAACTTGGAAGCAAATATTGCACTTCACAGAAAATAAATGTACATGCACTCCTAGAATAAAATCCACACTACATGACATAGACATCGCTCATACCAGACAAGAGCCTGAAACTCACGCCGCGTCGTGTGGCTAGTCTGCGCGCCCATGTCGGCGTCGGTGATCTGCGTGCGCGTGTGATCCGTCGACGACCCAAGCAGAAAGCCTTCCTGTCGAACGCGTGCGATAAACTTTATTGACGTCCATTTAATCTAGAGACGATATTTCTTACTTGTAATCTAAACGGTGAACTGATCTTTTATTATACTCACTTTACTTTAACAGCCTCAAGTTATTTCAATGTGCCTAAAACTCACTTTACTTAACCAGCTTCAAGTTATTTCAAGATGCCAACACTCAACCCTTGAGATGAACGACGAAATTATATTAAAACAAGCGAATAATTGAGTTCATTACAACTGAAACTAACCTGAATGTCAGGGCAGCAGATGAGCTCAGAGAGCATGGAAGCGTACACCACCGAGGGACACACCACCGACACGTTAGTGCACATCTCGCTGATTGTTTCAGTTCCACGAATTCGATGGGCCACAATATTTGACGGATAAAAAAGTTATACCGAAAATTAGGTTTTGTAAATTGACATTTCAAGCAGCCACTGTTATTTGGAACGAGCGATTACAATGTGTTAGATTTTAAATTCGTTCGCAAATATGCTTATATTTCGGAAAGCATTTCGATGGTAGAGTCGGGATAATGTGGATAATTCTATAAGAAACAGAATAGAATTTCAATTAAAATGCACGCGAAAAATTTGACGGTTTAATTGAAGAAGTAATCGAAACTGCTAAAAAGATTATGTAGCTAAGTTGCGTGATAATCCAAGAAGTATTTTGAACAGTATGGTAATGACCTAGGGAGTGTTGTGGCAAAAGAGAGACTTATTCCACAGTCTAAAATAAAAACTTTCTAGCTATGATTAACAAATTCACATTATTAGGATCGTTATTAATCATCTTTGCAGTAAATTGACTAGAACTAAAAACATAGAAATATAAGTCAGATAAAAGAATTGGCTTGAGTACGTATGTAAGTCGCTGACGTACGAGTAAGTTAGATGAATAATTTTGTGCCTGAACTTTACTATTATTCTTCTGCTATTTTGAAACATCACGAAACAGATATAAAATAAAACACGTCATTACGATTCAAGACATTCCGATCGCATAAAGCTTTAATAAATTAATCCTTCAATAGGCTACCAGACTAATTAGTAGTGTCATTAATGGGCAGCCTTGGGAATAAATGTTTGGCAGAATAATATCAGAATATATAATATTTATACACTTCAAATAGTCACGTCTAACGAGAGTCTCGTGTGTTCAACAAGTTGTCCGAATGTCGTAATGGCGTCAGCGCATCAATCTGCAGCTCAGGACAGGGAGAATTACATTGGTTCTTCATATATGTTTAAATTTATAATATGGCTACTTATTTTACACAAAAGAGGGTTGGAAATGCCGAAAACTGCATGACAAAGTGCTGTTCAAACATTTCTAAAAAAAAAAATCATTACGGACATTTCAAGTTTCGGATTGACTTGTATGACTCGTAATGATCCGCTGATAGGAAGATCCAAGGAAATTATTAACTGCAACTTCATCCGGGATATCTCGTCTCGGTATTGTCCCGTACTTCCGCTGAAAGTTTAAAATTGTCCTGATTTTTGTCGCAAATATGAACCAAGCTTTTAGGATCATCTTGATTTGAATAAAAACAACGTAAAACGCACGTGATTAACGCTATAGGGTCGAGTAAATCTGGCGGCGGGCAGTAGAGGACAGCAGTAAGGAACGAAGGAATGTTTCAACTATATGGGGAATAGACCAAAAAACGGTCGCTTCAACTGAGCGGTCCACAAAGCAGAAACAGGGAGGGAAGAAACTGTCTCATGGAGCTAAGCATAGGCCTGTTCGGATCTGATGACTTCCACATTGAATGCCAGAAAGTCTAGATTCCACAGGTTACGCATTTCTCACGGAAAAGCAAAAATACAGGAGGATTGGCCGCCGTAAAGATGCCAACGTAAATCTAAACGATATTGGTTTGAAGCGACAAAGGAACTGGTTATAACCCAGACCTCTTACGTGAAAGAGCCTATCTCGGCCATCAGTATTCAGGAGAGAGGCTGCTACTGAGAGCAACCATGCGGTCTCGGCCAGCGATCTCCTCGCGGATGGACAAAGGGAGACAACTTATATTTTGGAGCCTCCGCGGTAAACAATCACTTCACTTCTCTTGGTGAACATGAAAGTTCGACTGCGGCAGGTTCAGGAGAAGGGGGGGGGGAGAGGCGCAGATTACAGTGCAGACACCAGGCAAGAAGGACAGGCCTAGGCAGCGGAGTAGAGGTGAAGGGGAGCAGGCAGTAGAGAAGGCCTAGACATCATCCGTGCATTCAGGTGTAGGCATAGCACTGACAGTACATAGTAGAATATCCAGGTGACTGAAAAGAAACTAACTGAGCATGGGTTGAGGTCAGCGTTGGGATGAAACTCTTCAGACTTTATACGTACAGAGAACAAAAAGAAACGGGTGGAAAGGACAGACTAAGCAGAGGAGAGGTAAAATAAACGTTGCTTAAATAATTTGACGGATGGCAAAAGACGGCAGGAGAAAAATTAGGGCAGGGAACTGAAGTTCTCAAAATTTAAAAGAGTCTGACGGGCATTAAGAGCATTTCGCCCCATACCAGCTTCACCAGAATATTAACATTGAGAGGCTTCACTGCATTTATCATGCGTTAATAGTGCCCGCAGAACGCCAGCAAGGGAGAGGGCAACATAATAATACTAATAGCGGTTTCATCGTTTATTAGGCCGTAGGCCTGTCGCCGATTCTTAACATCGCAGAACATTCACAGCATTTTGCGGTCTCGAACTCGCAACTTACTGTTACAATTCTGCTGTGCTTAACCGCCCGGCCTCCTCGCAGCTTCTGACCAGAAACTGGCGCACAGAGCTGGGATCGAACCCACGCCTCTCTGCGCCAGTCTTGGTACTCTGAACTTTAGCCACTGGGCCACATATGTTTAGTCCGACCCGCGATGCCGACGCAGTGCAAACTGATGACATCATGACCCACCTTTAGAAATCATGCAGGATTTTAGTAAATTTTACCTATGAAATGATAGATTACTGCGTTCGGTTTAGCTTTAGGATGATAAGGCAAGCAAGTACACTGTTAACATTCATCATAACGCTGGCATTACTAGATGCAGGATACAAAATCTGTTTAAAGGCTCGTAATTAACTAATGATATGATGAACAATGGCTTAGGGAGCCGGGGGATCGCCGGCCCCTAGTGGAGACTTAGTCCACCCCTTGCGGCAGCAGGCTAGTTCACCGAGCACACAGCACCTCGTAGCAAGACAAAAATATATATCTTGGAATACACGAGTGTTAAGAAAGGACGTTTAACAATATTCTTGTTTAACTGATAGGTCGAGATAACAGGGATGAAAAATGCAGGAATGGAAGCAAAGCGTCATATTCCTGAACAGTTTTCCTCGAGCAATCTAGGAAATAGTGAATGAAACACATTCTTATGCAAATAGCTTATAATATTCAGGTATAAATTCGTAGGTAAAATGCACAAAATAATTATGTAACATCATTTAAACGAGATGTTGAGGCAGGTTCAAGACACTTGAAAGCATCACATTTATTACCCTGTTTATGTTGTGCCAGAGGTTAATTACATGACAAATTTCATGCCCTGTATAGGGAATGTCTTGGACAGAAGGCTAAAGGAGAAATGCGTCCTAATACAAGCAAGAAAAATTATTGCCTCTATTGGAAGGATAAGTCACTGAAACGTGAGCAAGAGATCAAACAATCCAAAAATAAGAGTAACGATCGTTTGATCGTTGACAAGGAAAGAGATAAAACTATAAAGGAGATACTGGTTAACGCATGCGTATAGGAACTAGGAACTGCGGTCAAAATAAGCATTACAAAATGCAAGTGAAACAAAACACAGTAATGCCTCATTACAACAAACAAGTCAAACATAAAAACCGATTTGAAAAATACAATTAATTTGTATTTCATTCAACACATCGCGCCTTCTCAGAGAATTAACCATGAAAAAATACGTTGATTTGGCCACTCAGCTGTTATTGTCTTTTCCAACTTTATTTAAAGCGTACATGCGTGAATAAACTTCTTAGCGACCAAATTTTTAAGACCGATGGAAGAGAGAATGTTTTGGATTAGAGAACTAGAGAGAGAATCTCGGGGCTACAGAGCTAGAGATAATATTTTACGGTTACAGAGCTAGAGAGAACGTTTTCGGGGTTACAGAGCTATAGACCACATTAGAGAACGCAATAAGTAAGGATATACAGCGTAGTTGGACGTCCAGGAAACGTGTCTCCTGACCTGATCTTGTGGCCAAAGCTAAAACTGGACAGAGCATGCACGATATGGCGTTCTCTGTTGCCCATCAGAATTGTGAATAATGAGTAAATTCAATAAAATAATTGTAATCACTATGAAAATTGTCACGCACTTATTAGGAAGTTGAACCAGTCTAATCCTAGCGACTTTCCAAGGCAATAATATCCACAAGCAAAGAATCTTAAACTAAAATGGTAACAAAACATTAAATTTGGCTCGGCCTCTAGCATTACAAATTTAATTTTCTAATTAGGTTGACCACATCAAAGCTAATTTTATCGTCACAATTGAAATAACAATCAAGATCTACAACACATGGTTGTAGATCTTGAGGCTCGCGTTCAGTAATGAACCCACAGCCCAGGCTAAGAACGCAAATTATAGCGACGTCTCTTGACCGATTACAAACGAATTCCTACCAGACGCATTGCATCAAATTGATTACAGGAATTTAATCTCAATCTCTGAGCACAGGTACAGATAATAAGTTACTTTCAGGACATAAATCCTAATATCTTAACACTTTCTAGGAAATTAGACTACTACTCAATATAAATTCAGATGAATAATCACAGTGAAGATTCATCATGTCTTTAGACTCGTGGAAAGAAGTTTTAGAGCAAGCAGCGACTTCCATAACAGGGCGGAGGAAGCATCAATAGCAAGCGTCCCCCGAGACTGTGGAGAGTTTGTTCGTTCATCATAATGTTCACTTATCAATTGTGTTTCTTTATTGTCAGAACAAACCACGATGGAAAGAGCGGGGGGTGGAGTTAGAGACATGTTCTTTTTCACATCCTAAAATGAGATACATCACAAATATTCCAATTGAATTATGATAATATTTCACGCTTAATACTATTACTATTATGCTTCAGCTTAAAATCAAAACCGCTTTACAATTTTTATCTCAACTTCAATTTGTAATCATAAATTTTTGCATGATAGTGATAATTACCTAATTCATCAAGGAATTCCCAATCTCGGCTTAAACCAACACTTAAGCTATTTAATTTCTGCCTAAAAAACGTGTAACTTTCATTGAAAGTTTCAAGACAAGCAGCCATTCTAAATACATTACTTACTGAGATTCGAAGAAAATAACAAGTTAACTAAACACGAGACAAATTTTGATATATTCCAAGTTTATTCATAATTTTCTGGTGGTAATATAAACAGATTTCTACTTAGGAGATGGTTAGATTCTATGGCACAATATCAGAAAGTTTCCAAAACGCACACAAAATGATGGGCCAAAGAACTATTAAATCCACGCATAAATAAATGAGTTGAATTCCACTAAAACAACAGAACCTTAAACTTACCAAGAAATACCATAGGCACAGCACAGCTGATGTATCACCGAGAACACTTTTAGTTTCTAGACCTACAACCAGTCAATTGTGAGAAGCACTTCAACCTAAAACCAATCGCTTTCTTTGCCTCGTCTAAACTGGTATAAATATGTTGATATACGAACACAGTGCAATTTTTAACTACAATCTACCAGCATGCAAGGACGCGTAGTCCCGTGCGGATAATAATGACTTATAACTGGCGAATCGTTGACGTTGCATGCTTGCTATGGCAAGAATATGGTAAGAAGGGCGATTGTGGGGATAATAGAAATTAATTGCCCATGCATTTCAAGTCGTCAAGAAGAAATGAAACCTGCTTATAGAAATATACTCTATTTTGTGTATTTCGTCAATGTGATAGGAGAATGTGTAATTATTTTAGTTAAATTATGTTAAAAATCAACATGAATCCCACAATAAATTGAGCATAATAATAAAAACGGAAATTTATATTTGTTAAAATCAACATGAATCCTATAATAAATTGAGCATATCAATAAAAACAGAAATGGCTATCATATAAATACATTTCATAAAAATGGAAACATGTCTAGTCAGATCTAATTCCAATCATTGGTCTTCCACAATAAATCAATAAAAACATAAATGGCTATCATATAAATAGATTTATTAAAAATGGAAACATTTCTAGTCAGATCTAATTCCAGGCATTGGTCGTGGTCTTTATCCCAATATCTGTCTGGGGTTAGCCTCAGCTGCAGTCTCCACCGCAGCCCTGACCAGCTCAGGGTTCAGTCCGTCCAGAGGTTCAATACCGAAGGCGGAGATGAACACGTTCACCACAGTGATCAGGAACACGCCCAGCACAATCCAGTTGTTCAAGATGTCAGCCTTCAAAATAAGAACTTTGCTCGTCACTCGCACATTTGGGCAGTGATTCCGAAAGTTTAGGATACTTGTATTAGTGCCCGAGATCCATTGATTTATTTTTGCTTGGCTAATTGAGTCAGCTGTGACATTGAAAACCTTTAGAGGTTTCACTAGTCCAAATATATCAATCATAATACCATTAATACCATTATATTTCGGCCTTTAAATACAGTAATAAGGTTAAAGATAAGATCGAAGGACCATGATCATTGATAAGTTCATTTCAAAAATTTTATTTAATATCTGCAAGGTTTTTGAAAGTAACAATCGTGACGCAATTCAAATTAGTAGTGACAGTGAACAATAGTGATGCAATTCAAATTACAATAAAGTAGGTGTGCTGGCGACAGAGTTAATAAGAATGATGAAGAATATTTAAATGCTAAAATAGAATACGCAAAGTTACTAAAAAGAGTAATTATTTGCGCGTTTTCTAGTTTTTGGAATAAAGGCGCTATTGTGCTCGTCATGTCCGTCCGTCCATGATTTCGGGGGTGAGAGAGCACGAGAAAACGTGCTCTCAGTCACTCACTGCAGTGAGCACTGGTTTATTATATTAATATTGCACTTACTTTCCTGGCATGCAGCTCGTGTGACACATCGTACCGGCCCAGGAAGATGAGGGCCACGCCAATTACCACCTGCATGATCGGCCAACATCAACATCAGTGCATTATGTCACACTGAATGCCATAAAGAACATATTGAGGGCAACGCTTAAAAATTACTATTAAAAGTAATATTACACTAAAGACCAGTTTCATAATCACAACAACTCGTTTGGATTCATTTTCATACTTGCTAGTCATATTTGCCTGTGCAATATTTTCCAAAAACAAGATAGTCAACTGAAATTATGGTGAAAAGCTCAAATAAAGCTAGGCTTCACAGACCTAAACCGTGTACGTGCAGGAGTCTTAGTATATCCTGTTGCACTTTGGTTTCAGAATTCAACTCATTAAGTGCGGCACGAGCCGCCGGTGGGTCGGACCACAGGCATGAAATACCTACGCCCTGAATACAACATAGCCGCCCTTAATGTGTTAATACAAGTTAAGATGTACGCTCTAGGATCATCCTAACTAATGTCCATTGCATGATGTGCTGCTGTATCTGTGGCGCTGTCATTTTGTATGTAAGCACTAAATATTTACCAACATAGCGTCCTCAGAAGTGCCCAGGCAGTTCAAGTTACCTAACCTGCCAGCAGTGACTGAGATCAAACCGTGAACTTTTTTAATATGAATATTCAACTTTTGGAGACCATACGCTTAACTACATCAGTATGACCTGGTAACCGGCGGGCAGTTGAAACCATAATGATTAATGTGATTAATTGAATCGCAAATTAACTAAAAATTTAAATAAGCTATGAAAATTTCAAAAAAATTCACATCTTTTTAGAAAACGTTTTGGCTTTAAAAATATAATATTGGGATGGGGAGCTACTGCACACATACCTGAAAAATAATGCTGATGCAGATGAGGGAGACGTTGAGGTTGTAGTACAAACCACCAACAGAGCCTGACTCGAGCACATAACGCAGCTGGTTAGCGTTGGCAGTGAGCAGAGCCAAGTCCATCATGCCCTGTGCCACGGTCTTCTTGGTGGCATACAGGTTTACATCTAGAGGCCTCCTGCCCTGCAGTCAAGAAAATAAATCATTTATTAGCTTCTTTATTTAGTATAAGGAATTAAAAATTAAGAAGCCTTCTGTAATGTAACACAACTTAAGCTTTTTGAATGAAGAATAAATAAGAATTATATGTTATCCAATTAGAAACAAATTATAATGTGGTTTATTTCCAAATTTAGTCCAAAAAACCCCAGGTAAGTGCCAAACAATGTGAAAGAAAAACAATTCCAAGTACCTGTAACAGGAGTCTAAACAAATGATCATCAGTAATTAAAGCAACAACCTTTGATGATCAAGTCATAGAACAAGTTTTTATACAAGAACAAGGAGTGTAAATGCCTTATTAGACCAGTAAATGCTCACAATAACGACAATGATATGAAGCATACACATGAGTTATTAGCATGAAGCGCGAGGTTTAGTTACTTACGTGATAGTAAAAGTAGGAGTGCATTGCTCAGAGAGATTTAGTGCAAGCTAGGTTAGAACCAGGACAGCACACCAAAGCTTTAGTAACAGCAAATACTCCTGCAACACTGCCAATTCAACAGTGTCAAGTTAAATGCTCATCAAGCTGTTAGAATACATAAACAAAAAATATCTGAATAATATTTTCACCTTAGAGTGGATATAATAATTTTTTCTTTCTTATAACAACACCATCAGTGAAATCATGAATCATCATGCACAAAATAAGAAGTGCAACCAAAGATAGAATAGAAGCAAATGCTGAAAAATGCAGATACTATTATATAGTTAAAGGCAAAAGCAGATGAGATGATAAACAACAATTCCCAAAGTTGATCCAGGCTTTATAAAATTGAGGTACCACCTGCATACACTTCAATGTGTACAATGAATAAACGCTTTAAAATGAAAAAAAAACATGTTTCTTAGCTCCATTGTCAATTTGTTTCAAGATGAATCTTGGAAGGTACTCAAGACTTCAAATAGATTACACTACATAATTGCAATTGATCAGATAAGAGCTTTTCAATGATTATCTTTTAATATGTATTAAATCTAAATTGAACAAGAAATATACAATGACAGAATATAAATATTAGTGATCAAATTATCAATTCCAGTGATGTAATTAGTATAAGCCCATCATTAGCTTGAAATGTTGGCCCTTAGCATATATTAGTATTTATATGTATTATAGGGTAGGAAGTTATTTACCTTGTTTATAGGTACATCCGGTTCATTTGCAGGATTGTGTACAGGAAAATACCCACGTCTGCGGCTGGTACCATCATCACGAGTGCCAGGTGATGAGGGGCGGTCCCCACCAGCGGTGGGAGGACCAAATCCTGGATCATTGTGCCCTCCCTCCTCAGCCAGTCCATCATCAACTCCTCCCATATTATTGGTGAAGCCCTCATCACTGCACCAACAAAACTTCGTTATTTTATATAATTTTATATGTTTGTATCAAATTATTAATTGGGAAAAGCCAATAAAACTAAAATCTCTACATTGATATGCCCCATTTCATAAGTTTCCACACTCATAAAACATTTCTTAAATCCACATTGCGAACATTTGTTACATTCAGGAAGGCCAGAATTCAACAATGCTATTCACACAACCCAAAAAATCCTAAAAAGTTTATGTGACAGCTGTTTAAATAAATAAGTGTATTCAACTGCAAAATTTATTTTTGTAGCTCCATTAGAGGAAAATTGTCCATCAAAATGACTTTTACTAGACATCACTTGACAATAACAGTGTTACTCACAGGCCAGCATCAAGATAAGTCTCTCTGAGATCAGCAAGAGGTATAGCTGTTGTGCCTGACATTTTGGCTCCACGGTGAGTTAATACCTGAAAATTTGGTGTCCTATTTAATTGAATAAGTAATTCAGTATTTGAAACAGAATAAATACAAAAATACTTGGTAAAATTAACAAATTTATGTAATAATTTTGCTATAATAATTATTAGAAGATAAGTTTGTTCTAACTCTTTACCGTTGGACTAGCAATATATAATATACCGTATACATTTTGGTAAGATGGAAGCTCCAAAAATCTAAACATTCTCTATCTATGGAACCTAAAATTATGACATGCAGACCTATTTGCACATTTAGAAGAATAGTAAAACTTGTTGATGGATAAAATTTATTTATTACTTTCTAACATTGTTGAAGTTCAATTTACTGTCATTCAACTAGCTCCATAGAAAGAAATATATTTCCAGATACGGTATGTCATTAGAGAATAATTTAAAAATTGAACATAATGTGAAACGAAAAATTCATGCATTTTCAACTTCACAGTTGAATCAAAAATACAGAATAATAACACAATAACCATAATGAATATGACAGTTTATGTAAATTGTAGCACATGAAGAATAGATAATAAAGATAATAGCCCCAAAAAATCAAATCGACAGGCCAGAATCATAAGGGAAAATGCAGCTCCATAGCAAGAAGCTCACAAAAAAAATGTTGATACCAGTTCATCACCTAATTAAACCAATTTTTCCCCCAAGTGCTCTAAAGGTTGGCAAAAGTTAGTCATGCAAGCAATGTAAGGAAGAGATAAAATGAAAAAGATTTACTCAGGAAGTTCTTTGGTATCTTTCAATATTGGAACAAATGGAATTACAATTTTATCCTTTCTTCTGTAACATTTTTTATTCACTCTCCAATGTTTTTGTTCATGCAAAAATTTTTCAAATGAGATGCAGTACATATCTTGCTTTTAGAAACAACCCAAACTACTACCACTTGAATTACTCCAGCAAGCACTCTAGTAACTAAACAGAAATCAATTCAGGAAACAACTGATGGCAATTAAAAGAATGAAAAGCCAGTGATTTAATCATTTAAACCAAATAATATGAAAATTTTGGACAAAAATGTGTCAAAAAAATAATAAGCAACCCAATTTAAACCTGAATTTTAAAAAGCACCTAGGAAATGCAAATGCAAATATAGTAAACCCATTCATTTTATGACAGGAATCAATGTTAATATTTTGTATAAACATATTGTTTCCCATTACCCATTTTCCCATTTCCCAAAATATCATTTCACATATTCAAAGGAAAGACAAATTAAAACAAAAAATTACGAATCTATAAAATTCCATGAAATTGACACACACATTATTTGAATAGTATAATTGAAAACTACACACAAAAAGCTATAGAAATGAATATTTAGTTTACAAAATCATACCATATCAGGATTTTGATTGCTGATGGAATTATTTAGCATTTTTTATCTACTCCGGTACGATGAGAAATAGACAAGGTTTCAAATAAACTTGGTTAGTTAAGTTGAAATTAACTTTAAAACCTTCCAGATAGCAAAAGTAAACAGTTTTGGTTTCAAGAAAGAAGGGAATTATAACAATAAATATTAGTGGTTCCTATAGACAGTTTCTAAATTGTCTTTTAGCTGTAAGCATTGTTTAAATTCAAAAAATATTCTCATATTTTCTCTCACATTCAAAAAATATTCTCATACAAACAAATCTGACAGGTATTCTAAATTGGCATTTAATAAAAACATTATATAGCACAGAACCAAATTGTTCTGTACATGTGCAGGGGCAATTAGCTATCTGTAGCCCATATCAGCCACTAAATTAAAAAGCAACATCTGCCTAAGCATTTGTTTTGACCTGAAGTTATTGAAGCTCAAACATCTTACATCTTATACCACAATAAAAAAGTTGGCACATGACTTCATTAAGAACTTTTACTCCTAGTACACTGACTCAGCCTAAATTGAAAACAATATCTACATAATTATGACCTCATTGTGGACTAAGTGTGAGGTGCTTTGCTGATTCCTGCATCAAGTCTTGCCACTTGCCAGTATTATTGAGGACTTGTTACCAAAACAGTCTCAGCCTCTTTAATTTGTCACCAATAATATTTGTCAAGACACATTTCTTTCAGCAGGCAAATTACCATATGTGGTCACCCAAAATCTAAAAAATAGACCCACCCTATCACCATGTTGTGTTGGTGGATGCATCATTGTGCATTGTCCAATCACCAATCAACTGCTGATTCTTCCATACATAACATCACCCACCAGCTTGGCCATGAATTAAAACATGAGCATTTAAATGAATGTTTTGTTTTGCATCAACATTGATGGCTTTCCAGAATTAAAAAAACTGGAAGTAGTAATATCTATTCAGTTTTTCAGAGTACCGTAAAATGGGGTAACTTAGACCGGCAGGGTAACTTAGACCACTTTTTGTTTTTTTAACCAAAACCCCCACAACTCAAAAACTATTTGAAATAGAAAATTTTGTCAATGGGCATTAAAGGCCTAATACTGAGGCTATATAACACAATAAAAAGATTTGAAAAGTTTGCATATCTAATAGGTTAAAAAATTAAAAATGTGACCCACAAAAAAAAGCTATTATTTAAAGCCTGTCAGAGTACCCCCTCCAATTTTTTTATTTTTTGTTCAAATAACTCCAGGTTTTGATGCATTGTAGTAGAACTCTTCTAGTTACACATGCAAATGACAAATTTTAGGAAAGTGTCATAGTTTGCAAATGGGGGGCGCCGCCCCCAAATGGGGTAACTTAGACCACCTAATGTCAGCCCTGACGGGGTAACATAGACCGGCTTGGAAGTTAATATAAAATTACCTTATATAACATATTTTATGTTTGACAGCCTATTTATGTTTTTTCTTTATGTTTCAGACTCAAGTTATTTGGAGTTATTTTACCAAAAAATATAATTGATTTTACCACCCGGTCTAAGTTACCCCAAGAGCTGGGGTAACATAGACCATCACTTTTTTTGAAATTACATCATAACTATGAGAGGCAAGAGCCAGCAATTTATGGTAAGTGAAGCTAGAGTATGGACCTGTATTTTGCATGTTTCAATTCAAGTTTAATTTAGCTAGTAAAAAAATGGCATCATTTATAAAAAAAAGTGGTCTAAGTTACCCCATTTTACGGTAATGCAGTGAAATTTTTTAAACCAAAGTTAGATACTTACTCTCTACATTTGTTTTTTGATTTAAATGAAATAACTATCTACAGCATGTTAACCATTTTGAATAGATTCTTCAATTGCAATTTGCTGCTTCAATATACTTAGTTTTTGGAATTTGTAGGAGTAAATATATTTTATAATTGTTATTCATACATTAAAGAACTGGTTTCAGAAATTTTAATTTCTGCACATTTCTATGCTTGACTGCCAGACTGCAAATTGAAAAACAACATGGATCTAAGAGGCCAAATGCATTGCCTGTGCAAATCTTTATAGATACATAGAAATTTACTTAATAATAATAATACCAACAATTTGTTTGGTACTGCACAAAATGATGAGATAATATCCAATCACTTTATGGCAAGTGACAGTGGCACATCATTAACTACCGTGAACACCTGGAGATGTCACACTTGCTGTTTGGGCTATGTCAAATTCCATTTCACAATAAATAGATTTGATCCTCAATGAGATTCACTTAAGGGGACCATCTCCCTCTTTTGTAAACTTTTTCAGTTACAAATGAATTGTTTTGAAACTTGGTACACATATGTAAAACAGAAATTGAAGACTTTTTTATTTGTGTGAATTTTTTGAAAAAATGAAAGAAAACGTAAATTATTAGAAAACCAATGGTTTTTTAAAGGCAACTTGGAAGTCCGATTTGGCAGTAAATTGTTAACTCAAATTTTTGAACTGAAAAACCTGCCACGGTAGATTGAAAATAATTTTTTAACCATAATTTCTAGAATTTCATACACTGTATAATCAGGCACAATTTTCACCATATTGGAGATAAAAAATATAATCTTACTGTAGTAGTAGTAGAATGATTTACTAGCGCTTCAGCTATCAAGCTATTTATCTCCAGAGGTCAAAAGATTACATTCATTACCAGCAAGGTAGATCTCAAGGCAGCAAGGCAGATCTCAATTATTTGAAGTCTCAAATTAATCATCACCCACAACCCATAAGGGACAGGAGATCTCAGATGTCCAGCCCCCTGATGCTGGCTCAAAAGAAGCAGCATTAGCATCTAAAAGAGACAAAGTGACAAGGAAGGACAGGTGAAAAACAACAGTAAATAAGACACTCAAACAAGAGGTTGCTTACTCAGTACATTGGCCACCCACACATGAGACATAGAAGGAAATTGCAAGGTATCCTACCAACCTAATAACTTGACCCCAGTGATGGAATTTTAGGAAATGCTTGGTCATTTAGATCCACCAGGATGGCCAAAGAGCTCCAGCGCAACTCACTTGATTTGAGAAGCACAGGGGGAGTGGGCCGGCAGCATGCTCCAATACAAGCGGGCTGGCAGGAGCAGCAGTGCATTTGGACTGCTACAATTGGAGCGGGCCAGCAGCTCCGGCAGCGCGCTCAAATTTGAGTGAGCACTTGTCCCGCTCCAATTATAGCGGGACAAGCATGCTGCCGCAAATGCCGGCCCCCTTGTATTGGAGCATCCGGCCTTCCTGCTCCTATTTTTGCCCACCGCACTCAATTACATAGGTACATGGTCATTTAGAAGGAATTTAGAATGCTACCAGCCTACCAACTCTACCAAGGGCCCCACAACTTAGAAGACCTGCAGTTTGACTCTGCAAGCAGGAACGAAAAATCTCATGTTAGGCCTTCTGACGAGCACAGATGCACAATGCACATCAGAATACCTCCTGACTCTGAGGGGATTGTCATGCAGCCAATTGTCACAAATTTCATGGCAAAATATGCTGTTTTTCTTTTTTTCAACAAATAAATAAAGCAAGAGCCATAAAAATAACTAAAACTTATAGAAAGATGGATGTTTATGTCTTTTTTGCAGGTAAATTTGCACAATTAGTATACAAAATTAATCAGTACCCAAAGTCCCAAACTGGATTAGGTTAAGCAAAACTTTCTGAAAATAGCTTAGACTTCTAGTGGTATTACTGCAGATTAACTACATCCAAAAAAAAGGGTGTTTTTTTTTTTTTAATTATATGTTTTTTGGGGTGTAGATTACGAATCTGAAATCCATTTTTGGCGGTCGGCATCGGAAAACCGATTTTTTGCAATAATACCGATCACACGTAGCGCACGACATCTTGAATGAAACTCACCCGTTGCACTGCAACGGGTAAAGAAGACGAAAATGTTACCCGTTGCACTGCAACGGGTAACATTTTCGTCTTCTTTGTCCATAAATCTGGAGATACATTGCCACATCGAGAGATCACAACCTAACGCAGTAACGTAAGTTACGTAACCCCCATGTTAGTAAGTCGCGAAAAAAATCGGTTTTCCGATGCCGACCGCCAAAAATGGATTTCAGATTCGTAATCTACACCCCAAAAAACATATAATTAAAAAAAAAACACCCTTTTTTTGGATGTAGTTAATCTGCAATAATACCCTTCTAGTAATCATCACTTGACAAGTTGACAGGCAATTTAAAAATAACATGCAAAAATGAACCTTTTCCCATATTTTGTGGAAAGAGCCAAAGGTGAAATTGTTTGCAGAGAGAGAAAAGAGAATCATGCACTTTGAAAAACTTTTTGTCTCATTGGCAGAGCCTGTTAGGCTAGCCTGTTGCTATGATGCTATCTAGTGTGAATTTGGAAACTATGATTTGTCAATTTGGAGGTTCCATAGCTACCTACCCTACCATAACATCCATAACTATAAGGCATATGATATATTAAAAATAGTTTTGATTGCACACTGACTGTCTGATAGACTGATACTACACTGACAGAGTGACAGACAGTCTGACACTACCTAGAATGATTTTTTTTTAATTTATCAATTATATTGAAGGCTGCCAGGATGGTTAGGTAGGTACCTAAACTAGCTAAAAGGCTAAATGATGAGGAAAAACGACCTTTCTTAACCACAATTTTTTAAAATCTCCCAAGTCCCAACTCCCATGAAACAATCAACAATCATTTTTAACCACAATTTTATGAACCTTTAGTCTTTAGAAAAATAGGCCCTATCCTAGATTAGTACCTATCTAGATCAATATTTAAAATGACCACTACAAATTGAAACTACATAAACATGGTAGGCCTATGTTCATTACATTGCATCGAAGGTAATTAAAGAAGTAGCAACAAAAAGTAAAAAATGTGCGCCTAGATATTGCAGCTTACACCAAGTTAGGTACGGCCCTCAGGCTCATGTCAGTTATGTGCACAGATTGGGCTTTTTATCATTGCAAACACTTCAAATTATGTTAATAGTTAATCATCTTGAATTTTGAGAAGGGAAAATCTTTTAACGACATAGCTACTACCAACTACCCTATTAGTAATTGCAAGAACCTAAAACAATTTACACAAATTCAATTGAATATGAAGAGCCCAGATGTTAGTTAGGTCATCAATTCATTCGAATGTGTACAGCGTAACTGCCTAACTGGACAAGCTTAGTGAGCCTAAACGTTTTGTAGAAGAACCATCTTGCATCAATATCGAGGGTTCGCAGTCGGGGGACTATCCCGCCAATAATAATCCCGGTCTACCAGTAGCGCCGTTGGGGAATGGGGAGTCCCCTAGAGCCAAGGCCGTGAGCCCGTGGCCGTGACGACCCGGGAATCGGAACTAGATCAGAGGAATTCTGTCAGGTAACGGGGAATCGGAGAACGTAAGAATCTCCAGAAATAGTTCAACTTGTAGCGATTGTACTTAAAGGCATCGTATTCAACTCGTAAGAAAATATTTACATTCATCAATGTATCAGTTGAATTCGGTCACTATATGAGATTTATAGCACAGGTTTTCCCATAGTTGCAAGCTTGAAATTCATTATAGAGACTATCCGTAGAGAAACATCAGATTTTTATTGTAAATTTGATTTATTTGTTGGCATTAAAATATGCAAACAAAATAATGAGGTATTTTGCAACAATGCGTTTGACATTTCCTCCTCAACAAACTGGAAGCAAACAAGATAATGAAGATGGGCCTACATGTATTATTGGCACTCAACTTCGTTGTTGTTGGCAGCTTGAAGGTGAGGAAGTAGCCGCACGATCACCACTTGTTACATGTGGACTCAGCAAAATTTACTTTGAAAGTTTCAGTATTATTTCACTGATTCTTGGAGATTTTCTCCTGTATGAACACTCAATTTTGAAAGTGTTTACGCTGGCAAAAATTCCAGTATAATTAACGGACTTGAAAAGTAACGATTACTGCATATAAGACACTGTTCATATTGTCCTGAACCGAACGTAGATCTCAATGAACTTTTTCCTCGTCGTGGGCAAATTATAACTTTCTCTGGCATACTTTTTAGGACACACAGGTCAATTGTTTTAGCTCAAAACAAATTTAGATTTCATATAACCTGAATTACATATAATGGAATACGAGTAACATTCACAATTTACCACTTTTTCAAATCGACGTCAAGTGCGTGACTTCTTCCTATACCTATAAGCACTTAACCTAGGGAGTAGTTCAGAACGAGTGACATGAAAACAAGAAATTTGCATTGACCTTAGTTCGCGGTAGACGGCGTAATAATTTTATTGTAGCATCATACAGTGCCAGTAGGAAGATCAAACGCTCCCAAACTTTGGTAAACTTTACTCAGTCTTTTCATCCATTGATTTGGAAAGAAATATCTCCTACAAGTTAAGAGTCGTTGAATTAGAGTAAAAGCGATCTGCTACTAATTTTCCCAACAGATAGATGGAATGATCCAAATACATCACCACGAAATGCAAAACGAATTCTAGATCTAGCCTGCATATTTAAATTTTCAGTAGTTTTTTCACAATATTTTTCGAACTTTACATAAAATTTTGATGCAAGCTTTGACCCTCATTTTCAAGAAAAGTAATAATATTTTGCGCAACTGATTCATCGCATCGCTGCATTTGCTTCCGCATGGCCTGTTTGAAGTCGTGTTTGGAGCCTCGGTCTGCACCTCGCGTCGACACCGTGCGCTGCATTCTGCACACCACCAAACAAGTTGAAATAATTAAAAAAAAAACTCAGTACTCACTGCAGTGAGTGACAGAGAGCGCATTTTCTCGCCGACTAAAAAGTGAAGTCACGGACGGACGGACAGACAGACGGACGGACGGACGGTCATGGCGAGCACAATGGCGCTTTTTTTTTCCATAAATGAAAAAATGTGCTAAAAACAACTGCTCGGTATGAAAAAGTATCATGAATATGATAGGAACAGAACATGAGTAAGTAAACAACATTTGTTGCTTAATAATCAAGGTTGTCAATTGTTTGGTGACGAGCTCCAGTGTAATAAAAAGTAAAAAATTAAAATAGTTTTAATGTGTTTTCTGTTCAACTATGTTTGCATTTAACATGGCATATTTTCTCAGCAATTCAAATATCTTTTGAATTTGTGCTGGAAAAATGGCGTTTTAAGCGCATTTATTAACAAGGTAACAATGGACTGCAGGCAATAAACGGTAGGGAGTTATAAAATGAGACTGGAATATATATAATAAATTGAGAGAGAAGTATTCATACTTGCTGATGTGAGGTGGAGGAGGTACGATGTCGAGATGAAGCCCACCGCCGTCGCGGGTGTGGAGGTAGACGAGCTCCTCGATAATCTCGGGCGTGGTGACGTACAAAGAGAACTGCTCGTAGTTCAGGCTCCCTTGTTTGATCAGCAGGCCTACCAGCTCCATGAAGACCAGCTCGTGCTTTGGCCACTCAAACTGAACAGGCGTTATTATAATGAAAAGATGAGTCATCTGCCGCGCTGCAGCCACTCAAACTGAACAGGTGTTATTAAGGCGTTAACATAAAATATGAGTTATCCGCCGTGCTGCAGCCACTCAAACTGACCAGGTGTCAGCCTAATGGAAACTTTAGTCTTTCATGATGACAACGACGGTGTGCTCATCAATACCTACATTTTGCTTGTATTTTAGTTCTTAAAGAAAATAAAAGTTAATTAAATGCTACTATGAAGTTCTTATACATTTTTTTTACATGACTGAACGTTACATTAATGGCGACTTAATTACAACATCAGTTGACTTTCACAAGGGCAGAAAGCAGGGAAAAATAGTTAACATTATTTCAGCTGCAGAATGCAAATTAGCAGGAGGAACGCAAGGTTCATGCTTAACACCAGCTCTGAATAGATTTTTGAGGGTCTTTTGCGCGTTAAAAATCCACACTAAATTAACTACCATGATTAGTACGTGGATTATGACCCCACAACAACATATCTTATTATGAAATATGAATGCATGATAATTCACTTTAACCAGCGTATAAGCATAGACTCTATTATCATAAGAGGTATTCTTTTTATGAGTTCTATAATTTACTAATACTACATTTACTTTTCTTAGAAGTGTAGCATTAAATTCGCACACCAAATTTTGAAGGCACGAAAGATTTTGATGTTTTTTTTTTGTAAACCAAATGTTAAAGAAGGTAAGCACCACATGAAAAATAGGTTACCTGAACGAGAGTGAGAAGGTGGCCAATGCTGAGATCGTCATGGAATTTGTGCTGGAAAACTCGTGTTTTAAGCGCATTTATTAACAAGGTAACAATGAACTGCAGGCAGTGCGCTCGCGACAGCGGTAACAGATGCAGGTGTCGCTCTGACCCTGCGAAAATGAGATCAGCTGTCACGTGGAGAGGTTGGCATCAAAAGGATTAGTGACAAATTAACTATTAAATACATTCTCTAAAAAAAATTATCCAAATAACCAATAGTTGAGAACATTTATTATTATCGGTTTCAAATTGTTAATAGGTAATATATAATACAACAGTTGAGAGATTATATTAAAATTTTACCCTTTTTCTACTGAGGGTAGCTCTCGTTATCAGGCTTCAGGTACGGCTAGTATAGACGTCAGTTAATGCATCAGTAAACCAATGGTATAAATACAGGATCTGGGCACATACCGGCAGTGATGGTGATACTGGAAGAGGAGGAGGAGGCTGTGGTGGAGTGAGCAGGAGGCAGAAGCGCAGCAGAGGAGCCGGGGAGTGTTGGGGCGGTGGCTGAGGGAGGGGGCAGGAGTCGGATCGCCTCCAGGGCAGCTTCAGTGGCACCCTGAACATTTTAGCGCCATGACAACATGAGAAACATGCATCGTGCATATGAATTAAATAGAAATTTGGACAATTAGAAAATATCATTAACACTTACACTATTATTAAACGGGTGATTACACTACTATTCCTATTAAATGCAAACTATAAGTAAACTATGAACAAAAACTATAAGTATTGAGGTTGCTAACGGGTAGTTTTGGTGAGAGAGGCTGAACTCGCAATGGGCGGGTAAATGAGGGATGGATGCCGTTCCTTAGGGATGCCGCTTTAAGGAACGGACGTCTACAAGGAGTGAATTTGATAGGAGTGGGGGAAAATAAGCCGACCGTGTCTCCATAATCTCTGTATTACGTCTCCTCAGAAATTTAGGGAATGGTTAATTCAAAATCGGCGATTTATGTTCACCTGTATTTGCTGTTTTTCCTCGTAGTGTTAGTAAATACAGAGGTTATTTAATAGAAATTTCTACATAATCATTGTATGTCTTCCGGGAGTCAGTCCTTACCAGCTACTGTAGGACAAATGGATACTCCTGGTATCACGTTGGTGCATAATTGGACATTCTGCTGACCTCATCAAAGCATGACTATGCTTACCTGTTAATGATTAAAACATAATAAAAAATGATTGGGGTCACAATTATTTATTAGGTAAAACTCACCGAGAAATTATTTAGTGCGTAATTGATAGAAGCAAGTTTAAGCCGGAGTTCGAGGGGCGAGAAAGGGACGGCAGGTTTGGGTGAGGCGGGCGAGTCGACGTCGAGGCTGGACGCGGCGAGCATGGCTCGCACTTCTCTGTTGGCTTCGGTGAGACGGAAGTCGTGCAGCAACATGTCCACCCTGAACGCCCGCAACGGCGACCCCACCTTCAGACGCTCCAGTAGCGCCGTGAACTCTGCAGTAAATGCGATACTTTTACAAATGTGACTTAAATTTAATGAAATTTAAATAAATAACAAGCCTAACAATATAACAAGGCAAAATAGATTTCGAAGTTTCCCTCTTCCAAATTTTTTAAGTAGCTGCAATGAATAGCTGCAGTTTAAATGCATAACGATAGGAAGTTGGCAACCTAATGATAGCTCAATTTTTTGATATTGCATAACCTAGAATCTGGTACGAGACACACTCTAACTAATGATGATTCTTTATTATACAATGATAAAATATACTGGAAAATCATTAACACAAAAAATATGAATCAATGAGAACCTACTTTTGCACTAGCGATTCATAAAAATGTTTATTTCATCATTAGTTTAGTTTAGTGGCCAAATGTTTTTTGTCCCCTTTTTATATTATCGATCACTTGACTGCTCACCATCTCATATCAGATTGTCAACATAGGAAAAGAATCGGCGACAGGCCACATCAGGCCTACATTTCAGCGCCTACATCATTATGTTATGTTTTATGTTATGTTATTATCTAAACATGAAGCTTGTATAAAAGGCAGAGTACACTCGAATGCTTTATGACTATTGACTTCAGATTTCTGCGCATGCTGCAGTACGAGCACTTTACATGATAATTACATAGATTTCATTGCCGTTCAAAGCTGAGTTCTAAGTGCACATTTCATTTGAGCAACGCTGATACAAAAGACCTCTGGTAAAGCCCAACTGCGTTTGCAGGTTGGCTCTAACCTCGGCTGGACCAATAATGTCGGTATCTAACACCACAGTACAATTAGATACAATTAAGCTTTGTTCTTAATTATATACTTCTAAGAAAAAAGTTTGAACTTTGTTCTTAATTACACCACGGAAATAAGGACCATTATTTATAAATACAACAAACTGATGATTTCATTTTAGTGCAGTCAGATTTAGTATGTGAATGTTGATAAATACATTTGAATAATTTAATTAGTTTCCTTATTTACTCAACTCAACGTTGATAACTTAGAAAATAATATAATCAAAACAAATAATGACAATTTTTTTCTATTTCCGTGGAGAGCAAAAGTTTTGAACTGAATATAGTCTAAGGCTCTAAGCTTTTGAGTTACCTCCTAAAAACCTAATGACTTCAAAAAATTCGATCTGATCAAGATTAAAATTCTCTTACAATTCCTACAGAAATAAAAACACAATACTAAGACAAATTTTCCCGAATGAGTGAATATTTGGATGGAATAAGGGCATGACGGCTTACCAGATCTGAGCTTGGAGTGCGAGTGCAGCAAGTCCCAGCACTTGATGGCCGTGGTCAAGGCCTGGGGCAGACCTCCACTGCATACACCCTCGCCCTATATCGCAACCGTTAACACTTAACACATTGTAGAAGACACATTGTATTGGGCACATTGTAGTGGACACATTGTATTGGACACATTGTATTGAACACATTGTAGTGGACAAATTGTATTGAACACATTGTAGTGGACAAATTGTAGTGGACAAATTGTATTGAACACTTTGTATTGAACACATAGTATTGAACACAGTGTATTAAACACGTTATATTGAAGACATTGTATTAAACACGTTGTATTGAAGACATTGCATTGAACACGTTGTATTAGACACTATCTATTCAATGAGACATAGCAGTACCTTGCTATATTATTACCATATCAAGATTATGAGAATGGATTACACACATTTTATAGGGCTTGAATTTAATAATCTCATTTTGTACATACAGTACATACACTATTTTATATCATTTTGCATATACCCTAGACTTGAAATTATTGTGCACGAGGAAAGAGCAACTAAGTCATAGTTGATGTTGTTCAAAATAATTTTACACTATTGACTCTCCTGAGAGGCTCTGAACAACCCACCTGCCCAACGCTGATGTGGGGCACCAGAGTGTCAATGTCCTGTGAGGTTCTATGCCGTTTAGGTCGTGGTGGCGACAGGACATCCAAGTCGTCACTGCACACGGAGCTGCTGCGACTGTTAGCTGCCGACGCCGTGAATGCCTCGACCAGCGTCAGCCCCACGCTTGAGCTCATTTGTGCCTCTAGGATATTAGTTAAACATATTAAAATAAACATCAAATGTGGATAAGATGAAACATGGAAATAATGTGATGATTTGTATACAGCAAGAACGAGCTGTGATAATGAAATATGGCAAATGGAATAAACACAAGTTTTTGCCTAAAATACTCCAAAAATATTTGTAACATCATTATTTATCCGAAAATATTGACAGGTATCTCTTTTCTTTTCTAGCCATTAAACTCTATCTAAGAAGTAGAATTGACAGTCAAAGTAACCAAAAATAGATCTTCAGGCTAAAATGACAAATTGCTGATGGCTAACAGTTAAAGTGTTAAATAGTTAGAAGCAGTTAATTTTGTAATTAAAATTTTACAGAGAATATTTTAAAAATCGATGAAGTAAGTGCAAAATAAGAATTCATGTCCCAAATAAGAACAAAAGATAATGTAACACAACCACACCTTTATGCCCTATCATACAAACCTTGTTTGATGTTGGTAGTGTACTCATGAAGAGCATGAAGAAATAAGATTGTAATGACATACAGAAGCTCCATCCTACTCTTCTCATTATCCAGAGGAGGCCCAGTTGAAATGGTCTTCATTACAGCCTGAACGTGTTGTAAAATCCCCTCTCTGTTGGCATCAGGAGTAAAGTGTTTGGCCAAGACCCAGTCAAATCTTGCACCAAGTTGTCGGATGCACAAGAAGACTTGACTCCACAGTTGTGCGCATCCTGGGCTGCTGTTCTCACTGCCACAGCCGGTGCTCACTGAGCCTGAGCTCTGGAATCAATGACATCAGAAACATGAAAATGTGTGATGAGATGAAGTAGGCTATAAGAATGAATAATTATAATGGCTAAGTGACTATATAAACACAAGTATTTTTTTCTGTTTTTCTTAGAACATGGTAACCAAATTTCTAGAGAGAAAATGTCTTGCAAATGAAATAAGTAAATAGCATGAAATTTAGATACACATTAAATTAAAGATTAATCATATTCCTCTGCAGTAATGACATCAAAACAGATCAAAACTTGAATTATTGAAACTGATTTGAAGTATATTCCAGATAATACCCAAACAAAGAAAAAATTAAAAAATTTTGACATTTCAATAAAAAATTTAAATTTATGGTTACACTTCACTTACTTTGGGAGCAGCCAGCAAGCGCACAGGGCTGGAGTACAGAAGTGCAGTGTAGTACTCAAGAGCTAAACACAGAAGGTGAAGTAGAAGCTGGAAAGACACCTGCACTCCACTCGCTTCACCCCCCACCAGCACAGGTAGGACCGAGCATACTACCAAGTACAATTCGAAACAAATAGTTGCACAGGTAATACAAGAAAGAACTCAAAATAACTTGCATGCTAATCACTAACTTTGTATCAACATTACCACAAAGATAGATATGGTAATTTCTTCAATATCTATATGGTAATTTCTTGCCACCAAAATTGTTAAAAAAAATAAAAACAATGAAAGTTGATCTGAAATAACAGGCAACAAAAAACGTTCTCACAAAACATAAGACGGGATAAAGCACAAGCCTAAAATGACAAGTAGATGTCACAAACTGCAACACCCCCTGCCATGGTATTAAAATACTAAGCAACACTCACCAAGTTTCTTCCGGTATGGGTTCAGAGGGCTGGGACACATTTTCTCAGCAGACAGTAGAGTCTCAACAAGGTTGGGCTGAGGTAAAATCCTTCAAATAAATATCACATGCAAAGGTAATGCTATGTAAAAATGTAAAATCATTGAATACAGACTATATATGTATTCATAAACACAGCAAAAAAGCATGTTAAAACTAAGTAGAACTTTTGAAAACTATGCATATGAACTTACAGCTTGAAGATGTGTTGTTTCAGGAAAATGAGAAGTGAGCAATAGCAGAAGAGAGCAGTGACTCATAGTATCAGTGCAACGCTCAGCGGCATTCAGCACAAGGCCTCGCTGAATATCTGAAATATATAATTGACCTCCCATGACGATAATCAAAAAACAACCTAGTGATACATACCAATCAAAACGAAAATCAATTAATATACAAGTACATTAAAAAAAATAAAAAATTAGGTTTCTCCAATCCTTGACTTCTGAAAAAAAAATTGTGAAAATGATAAGTAATGTCATTGCCTTGCCAATCATTGATATCCTACATACATAGATCACTAACATCATATCACTGATGATCACTAAATAGATCACTGATATCCTAAACATGGTACTTCAGCCATAAATCATTGATTACAAATATCATAACAATAAGAAAATTACACAAGGCTTAATAGTAGATATATCATGATGTATGGAATCTATTTGATTATGTAGTGTTATTTCTCACGCTTGGGAAGTGCATAGAAAATCTGGGTGTGGAAATGTGTTTTTTCATCTGCTGGAGAAACATCAGGCCCAGGTATTGATGGGCTTCCAATATCAGCGGGAGGCATAAAATCCAGTTCATTGTCATTAGAAAAGCTGTTGCTTGCTTGAACAGCAAGCATTATTGCATCAATTTCCAGGAATAAGAGTGATTCTTGTGGGAAGTCCTGAATTCTGTAGAGAAAAAATACAATATCATGTTAGATTCAAACTGTACTATTTAAGTCCAGAAATAATTTAGGGATAAAACAATAGAAAAAAATTTATGAGATAACCACTAAAATCTAAATTTAATAAAACAAATGCCCATACCAGTATATGCAATTGTTGCAGAAATTTGACTTCAGAGGAATATTATATAGTCCATTGTTCATTTTATGCTCATCATAAAACAACCCTAAAAATTAAGGTTTAAGCTCAATTTCCATTACAACTAAATTTAACCTCCTTCAAATCATTTCCATCATCATATATCTATATATAAACAAATCAAAACTAGCCACATCCTGGACCAAGAGAGTAAAGCTTGCTGCAATGATAGAATCTAGCACACTCAATGAAGTCCAATAATTTTGTGAGATACAGCACATAAATTTAATGTGTATACAAAATCATATGTACGGTGAATGATTCTCATTGACAATGGCTATGGTATATAAAAATTTTACTTTATATACAATATACATACACTTGTTTTGCACTCTTTAACATATGGGTCCATTGACCATAATGGAAGGAAACCAAGTTTAATCTATTGAATATATACTGAACATATAGATAACTTACAGTGAACTGAGACATCTTGCTGCTCCACTGACATTTTTGGCAGCTTTTTCAATAAGGTAAACCTCAAACTGTTGGATGAAAAAAATGTATTATTGAAATTAGTTATACCAATTATTTGAATGAAAGAAATTTACTATAAATTCCAGGAATATCAGATCACTAATATTTTTCTTGGACAAACCAAGAAACTCTATCTTATGAAACAGTCCATTAAAGAAATACATACATCAAAGACAAATGAAAAATGGTATCCAAATAAAAATAATACCTCTAGTTTAAGAGACTCATCCTATAGTATCTACAAATGAAAGTGAAGTCTATAAGAACAATTCATATTAAGTTAAATGTAAATTAAATATCCTGATTAAAATAACAAGTTCATGGTGACAATAAACAAAAAGAAAGGTATTCATTAGAGAACTGAGGAAATATTTACCTGGATTTTGAATGTGCTTGGATAAAGAACCTGGGCCGTGATCAACCAAGCTTTAGAAGCACTTTGATCTGAAGCTTGGAACTCTTTTGCTCTGTGAATCAAGAATTCTTCATCCGTAAGATGAACAAGCTCTATATCAGGAACCATTGTGAAGCTGGATAACTGAATAAAAAATTTATGCTTTCTCTCTGAAGAAGATCAAGATCAAGTCGATCATTAAACTGACTTTTTCAGCTTGCTGTATAGTATTTAGATAATTCATCCATACAAATTGTGAGCACAGTGACAAGCAAATTTTTTGTGTCCTTCCTATTTTTAGCCATGCAATTGAAAATTATGGAAAAAAATAAAATCTCAACATTACATTATCATCTGTTAATGTCATTAAAATAATTTTACTAGTTGATAATCTCTTGTCAAGAGTTGAGATCATGAATTGTTTGCAAAATCAGACTGAATTATCTTAACCTTGAAACTGTGCAGACCATGGTAGAGCAAAAATAGGGGTTTTTTAAACTTTTTATTCAAAATTTATATCCAACAGTGAAATTTTGGTGATGTGATGCCACGAAATACCATTATTGAAATTTTAGCTTATATTATCAGTATCTTCTGTTGCAGCCAACACATTAAACTTATGATTAAATGTAAAATATATTACTGCAGAAATATATACTTAAAACAATCAATAATTTAAATGCAATAGCAGCATATTTACAGATTGATGCTTCAGAACTAGCATACTTAACTTATTTAACAAGAGCAATGTATTTTGAGGTACAACCAGACTGTTGAGAGATGTGCAAAAATGAATAAAATATTCACCTCACAGTAGATATACAAGATGATAAAATTGATAAAACCAAACTATTAGGTCAATAAATTTAGTTGGGTACTCAGTTCAGCTCAAACATAGAAAAGTTTATACCGCAATCAATTGGGCTAACCTCGACAGCATAGATTGACCAAAGATTTTTTTTAATCAGTTCATTTTCAATTTCCTTATCTACTCAATATTTTAATAAATTTTTTATGTATGATAATGCTGGTATCCAAGATAGGTACGTACCTACTGAATATTGTTCCATTATCATGGAGTCAGGGTTGGTGATTTTTTTGATTTAAAAAAAATCAAAAAAATCAAAAATCAAAAAAATCAAAAATCAATGATATTTTTATTTTTTCATGATTTTTTTTATTTATTTGATCTTTTTTATTTTTTCAACTTTTTTGTCTTTTTGAAGTGTCATTTTTTATTTTGCAATTAGCCTACTAACAATAACAGTATATGGATCATAATGGATGGCTAAAAAGGGCACTTATTGCCTTCAATAATGGCCAACAGGCCAAGGTGGTGTTTACCACTAAGGGATTTTTGGGTAAACAATTATTGATAAGTCTATTCACTAGCTTTGTAAAGTTTGTATGGAGCAAGGTAATGAGCTAAATATTGCCCATTTAACTGGCTTCAATATACAAATGCAGATCTTCTAAACATTGAAGAGTCACACAACAGATAGATACCGTCAACCGGGGCTACTCGGGACGGTTTTGAGCGTTTTTTGTTAATAACTTCTTACGATGAAACATTTCATAAACAAGTTTAGGCTCATTTTATAGCTCTTTGCGAGGGCTATCGAATGGCATCTTAAAAAAAAATCCATATGCTATTCGTAAGGTGCCAGAAGCAAAAAAAGAGTGTCCTGAGTAGCCCCGTCGAACGGGGCTACTCGGGACACTGGGAATAAAACTTCATTTTAAAATATTTGAAGCATGCAGAGCCTACTCATCCATTACTAACAGTACTCTGAAGTCCTCCTCTTTCATTGTAGACAATGTAGAGGTAGAATAAATGACATTTTCTGTGACTTTTACTAGTTTTTCCTTCATTGATATGATATTACCATAAACATTAATTACCCTCAACTGGGGTGACTTTGGCTGTGTTTTTGATTCATGCTGGGGTCGTAAACGCGGGGTCGTAAACGTCGGGGTCGTAAACGTCGGGGTCGTAAACGTCGGGGTCATAAACGCCGGGGTCATAAACGCCAGGGTTGTAAACCAGGTCATAAACGCCTGAGTGACTTTGGCCACTGTTTACGACCATTTATTACCCCACTTTGGCCATCATTATGAACACGGCCGAATCACCCAGTTGACGGTACCGTATTATTGATGGGATATTACTGTATTATTGATGGGATATTATGGTATCCATGAACATGCCATTGAGCATTTACAGCAACCTTGTCCACTGCAAGCTTCATATCAGCAGCATCATAGCATTTTTTCTGTATCTGTAAGCTTACAGGATGGCTTGTAATTTGTGAGACGATAAGTGAACTTTTTTTTTAGATACAATATTACCATAAAAATGTTCTTCTTTTAAATAAAACAGGTTTCAACTTCATAACGTTCTTAGTTTTTTATGTATGAACAAATTAAAAGGGTTACTTAATTCTGAAACACCCTGTATTAGGGTGGAAAATCTTTCTAATTGCCTAAAAGGTCAACACAATCTCAACCTCTCAATATACAGGGTGGGGCAGAACCAATTGAGCAGTTTTGAGGTAAAATAAAAGAGTAATGGAGGTACATAAAGAAGAAAGTTTATTTTCCTAGAGGTTAGCATAACATACCATTTAGAATACTTATGTTTTGAAAACAATATCTGGAAGATGGGGGCTGTTAGCTGCAACACACTGTTGGAGTCGTTCCCAGAGGAGCAGGGTTGGCAATGATTAAATCAAAATGATTAAATCATGTGATTAAATTACTTGATTTTTTTTATAAAAAAATCATGATTTTTTTCTATTTTTTTGATTTTTTGATTTTTTTGATTTTTTCATATATTTAAAAATATTGAGTGGCAGTCTATAATTTATATTGAGGTATTGTTATTCATGTTTTAGTATAAATGTAAAATGACAAATGTAAATGACAAATGTAAATGACAAATTGGTATATAAATTGTTGCCTTTAGGGTGTATTAGGTTCCAACAAATGGAATGTTTTTGGTACAGAGGCATCAAGAGTGCAATACATTGTACGTAGCTAGCAGCTTAGCTAATTCTTATAAGGCTATAAGTAGTCTACTATTTGACTATTTGTAAAATGCTCAAATCAGGTGACCTTGCAGGCCACTGTTAAATCATCCCTCAGAGACACCAGACGTCCGGGAAACATGCGTCTCAAAACATTGAGTGACATTCGGGCTGTGCGAGCTGTAGCCCCATCCTGCTGGAACCACACGTCTCCCAATGTTTCATTTTCAACAATTTCCCATCCTGGGCTGCAAGAAATTTTGCAACATTGCAGCATAGCAATCAGAATTCACTGTCATGGTTACTCCCTCCTCTGAGAACGACTCCAACAGTGTGTTGCAGCTAAAAGCCCCCATCTTCCAGATATTGTTTTCAAAACATAAGTATCCTAAATGGTATGTTATGCTAACCTCTAGGAAAATAAACATTCTTCTTTATGTACCTCCATTACTCTTTTATTTTACCTCAAAACTGCTCAATCGGTTCTGCTCCACCCTGTATATTGAGAGGTTGAGATTGTATTGACCTTTTAGGCAATTAGAAAGATTTTCCACCCTAATATGAGGACGTATTCTAATTAAAATATTTAAATTCAATCTTTATATATGTGAATTTAAAACTAGAAACAAAACAATTACAATTACAATACTATATTACTATATATAAAATAATTAAATGCAGTGAATGGATATAAAATACGTATTTGAATTGTGCACATGTTTATTTCAAACAGTGTTAGCTTTTCTCATAACATAAGTCTTGTTGCAAGTCGTATGAGGTTTGTTTGGTTATCGTTCAGTTTATGTTTAGTATTGGTTTATTGGTCTGAATTAAATGGGAACACTGCAGTCAGTCACTACTAGTTGGTGTGTATAGAAGGTAGAGTCTGGTAGATTTATAGGACATAAAACTAGTAGATCTATTGATACCTAGTGCTGTGCACTGTACTATCAGCTACCTATCTGTTATGTGACTCTTCAATGTTTAGAAGATCTGCATTCCTGAAGTGTTTTTTTATATTGAAGCCAGTTAAATGATCAATATTTTGCTCATTACCTTGCTCCATACAAACTTTACAAAGCTAATGAATAGACTTATCAATAATTGTTTACCCAAAAATCCCTAAGTGGTAAACATCACCTCGGTCTGTTGGCCATTATTGAAGGCAATAAGTGCCCTTTTTAGCCATCCATTATGATCCATATACTGTTATTGTTAGTAGGCTAATTGCAACATAAAAAATAACACCTCAAAAAGACAAAAAAGCTGAAAAAATCAAAAAATCAAATAAATAAAAAAAATCATGAAAAAATAAAAAAAATCATTGATTTTTTATTTTTTTTATTTAAAAAAAATCAAAAAAATCACCAACCCTGCAGAGGAGGGAATAACCGTAACAGTGAATTCCGATCCGATCGCTATGCTGCAATGTTGCAAAATTTCTTGCAACCCATGATGGAAAACATTGTTGAAAATGAAGCAGGATGGGGCTGCAGCTCACACAGCCTGAATGTCACTCAATGTTTTGAAACACATTTTCCCAAACTCTGAGGGGTGATTTACAGTTGCCTGCGAGGTCACCTGATTTGAGCATTTGCAATTTCTTTCTTTGGGGACATCTAAAAGAGAAGGTGTTCAGAAGTCGCCCTCACACCCTACCACAGCTAAGGGAATGGATTATTGCAGCAGAGGTTATGACCATACCTCGCCATATGTGTGAACGTGCTGTAGAAAATTTACGAGAATGACTCCAACAGTGTGATGCAGCTAACAAACCCAATCTTCCTGATTTTGTTTTCAAAACATACCCAAGTATTTTAAATTGTATGTTATGCTAATCTTGAGGAAAATAAACTTTCTCCTTTATGTACCTCCATTACTCTTTTACTTTGCCTTAAAACTGTTCAATCAGTTCTGCCCCACCCTGTATAAGCTAGCGAACACATTTAAATTGAATATTGTAATCAATATATAACAAATAGTCAAATAGTTAAAGACTACTTATAGCCCTATAAGAATTAGCTAAGCTGCTAGCTATGACTGCTATGTACAATGTATTGTACACTTGATGCCTCTGTACCAAAAACATTCAATTTATGGAACCTAATACACACTAAAGGCAACAAGTTTATATACCAATTTATCATTCATAGTACACTTATACTAAACCATGAATAACAATACCTCAATATAAATTAAAGACTGCCACTCAATATATTCAAATATATTAAAAAATAAAAAAAAATAAAAAAAATCATGATTTTTTTATAAAAAA